TGGATCGGGCGGCTCGGCAGCAACTGCAGCTCGGCGGCTCGGCGACCCGGCGGCTCGGGCGGCTCGGGTGGATCGGGCGGCTCGGCAGCAGCTCGGCGGCGCAGGTGGCTCGGTGGTGACGGTGGGGCCGCGTGGGGACGGCGGCGGGGCCGGGTGGAGCGGCGGCGGGGCCGGGTGGAGCGGCGTCGGGGCCGGGTGGAGCGGCGGCGGAGCCGGGCGGAGCGGCGTCGGGGCCGGGTGGAGCGGCGTCGGGGCCGGGTGGAGTGGCGTCGGGGCCGGGTGGAGCGGCAGCGAGGCCGGGTGGAGCGGCGTCGGGGCCGGGTGGAGCGGCGTCGGGGCCAGTAGAGGCGGCGCCGGGGCCGGGAAGGGCAGCTCCGGGGCCGCAGGGGTAGGCGACGGGGCCAGCAGAGGCGGCGCCGAGGCAGGGAAGGGCGGCGCCGGGGACGCAGGGGCAGGCGACGGGGCCAGCAGAGGCGGCGCCGAGGCAGGGAAGGGCGGCGCCGGGGCCGCAGGGGTAGGTGACGGGGCCGCAGGGGTAGGCGACGGGGCCGCTAGGGCGTCTAGGAGGGGGGGGTCGCGATGGCGGCGCGACGCGACCGAGCCGCGAGGGCCGCGGATTGGGGCCGCGAGGGCGGCGTGACGCGGCCGCTAGGGCGGCGCGACGTGAAGGGGCCGCGAGGGCGACGCGACGGGGCCGCAAGCGCGACGCGACAGGGTCGAAAGGGCGGCTCGACGGGGCCGTGAGAGGGGAGCGCGACTCCGGCAGTGTAGAGCGCGCTCCGGGCAGGAAAAAAAAAGGTGGTGGGCCCTAGGAACAGTTCCCACAGGGGAACCTGCTCGATACCATGAGGAACTGAACGAGAATGAAAATGACTAAATGAAAGTTGGGTACAAGTGCAAACCCTAGAAATCTGTACCCCATATGTGTTACCCCACTATAGCCTACAGTAAGTATGTCATATAAATCTGACACGACTGACACGTGTATGACGTCTCCTGACGGTGCAATGAAAAGAAGTTTGGCTTATGGGTAGCTGTGCCCTTGCTTGCTTGCACTATTGGTTGTGCCTGATCATCCGATGGTTTTGGGTTCCTCCTTGTACCCCTTATTGTCTACTCCAAGTTCTTGAATTCATTCGTGGCATCACAGTGACATTTATGGATAACTCCAACAGGTAACCCGTAGGGCGGGTCGCGTCATTGGCAGCGATTTCAAGGGTAACGGGTGTTGATCACAGTTGCAGTCTACATATGTACTTCGCTAGGCGCCAACGATACGTCTCCTGGTGAAGTTCTAGCAGCGCCGTATGTTGATCGCCTGCTGTTCGCGTTCTACATGATCTAATTTAAATCTCTGGCTGAAACAGCCTACTAGTTGACTTGCTCGTTTTCTGGTTCTGGTTTGAGCGGTCCTTTGCAACAAAGTTATTATGTGTGTATACATATGCTTGCGCAATGCACATGTTTATGTGCCCTTGCACGGTTCTTGTGCATGTGTGCGCATGTTTATGCATGTGCACATGCCTTTGTGGATGTATGTATGCTTGTGGATGAATGCATTGGCATATATGGTATGTGCAAACTAAGCCATGCTTGTTGAATATAGTATTGGTAGTTTTTGTCTTGAGTGCTTGAAGAGGAGGGTTTGTCCACTCTGATTGTACATTATGCCCAGTGTGTGTTTTGATTCCTTAGGTATTGTTTGTCTGAATCCCAGCCACTAACTTGTGGGATAAAATGGCTTGATTGTGTAACGGGTGAGTGCGCCCATAACCCCCGAAGCCAACGTGCATGTAACCCTTCCTTAGGATCATTCGGGAATCTCAAGTGCACCTCTGACACCCCCCCGCACTGTGATGCCCGAAGTGCAAACATGTCTGAAACCTTTGCTTTGATACCATGTCAGAATCCTAGCCACTAACCACTGGACTTGTTTGTGTAGTGGGTGAGTGCGCCCATAAATCAACGTGCCTGTAACCATTCCCAAGGATCAATCAGGAATCTCAAGTGCACCTCTGATCTGACAGTGTTGATTTAAAAGTTGCCGGGTACCGACTCTACCATTTGTTATTACTGATATCTCACTGATCGTGCGAATGCTGCACAACAATGCACGCAAATGCTGTTTGAGATATGTATTAGTGGAGGCTTGTTTCCAGTGCACTTGTTGAGAAAATATGCTGGTACAATGAGTGACAAGCAACTAATCCTCGATATTGGCTGGTCTGTGAACTTGGAAACCTTGGGAAATCGTATGCTTCTCGAAAATCGGGATGGCACTGGGCTGTTGGTCTGTCAGCTACTCTCAGCGTCAGCGTGAAGCTTCATTGTTTTTCTTTCATCATTGAACGCATTGTTCGTCACATTCAGGTGATTCTGTGTCATCATTTGTGTCTGACCATTCTAAATCCCAAGTCGAGATTGTCCGGGTTATGAAGCAGCTTAGAGTGGTACTTGTAGACTTGATCGATATGACCAGTTATGTACTCAGGAATTTGAGGTAGCTTTCGGCGATGGATGGATTTGGTCATGATCGATCGAAGGAGAGATGCTCTGCGGGAAGATGGCCGATGCGTCCGTGTAATGCGGGACGACAGCCAGTTGCGGACAGGAGTAGGGAGCAGGATGGACGACAAGAGGACCAGAGAAGTAGTAGATTCTGCAATCTCGTAACGACCCGAAATCCGTCCGACGGGTGCCTAGAGACTCCATCCCCTCGCAATAATTATAATCATGATTATCCGTTACGGGACGACGGAACCAAGCAGGAGGACGAGAAACGTTTCTCCTTACCGCACGGATTTTTTTCGCTTCCACTACGCGACGCGATTCCTAGCGGTTTCGACGCGAATCCCAGCAGTTTCCGTGGAAATTCCTCGCTTCCGCTACGCGACGCGACTCCCAGCGGTTTCGACGGCGCCGAACGCGGAAACGTCCGTCCAGATTGTCGCCGTGTCTCACGCGAGTCGGAGGAGCCGCGTCGCCCAAATAGTCCTTTCGGCGCTTCGGATGCATCCTCTCGCTCATTGCGCTACGTCGATGATGGATTCTGTGCTTCGCCGATCTGTGTAGACATTGCTACGAGGACTGACGGCCGAATCCATAGCAGCACGCATCAGAATCCCCAGCAGCAGCACAAGCAGCAGCAGCAGCAGCAGCAGAGCCAGAAGAGACGGCTAGGAGCTTTCAAAAGAGGACGCGTCTCGCTTCAGATGCTCGACACGTGGCTTGCTGAGCCTGAATCTCCGCCGTTGAAGCAGGCTCGTTCCGCGTCCCCTTCCCCCACCATCCGCTCCCCGTGTGGGTCACCTGGCAAAACGCCCGGAGCTCTGAAATCGCCAGGAGACCTAAAGTCGTTTGACGATTTGAAATCCGTCGAAAATGTCGGATTGAATGCTGCTGACGCTTCAGGAACAGATGGTGGGATGCAATGCGGATTCAGGTCGCATGGAGGTACTCATTTGCCAAGAAACGCCGATTCTATGAGCAGTAATCTTGATAAGCCAAAGTCTGAAGATGCTACTACTGCTGCTGGAGGAATCCTGCTCCCTGGAGAGGCGTCGGAGTATGTTGATGAGTCAGCACGAACGGATAAGGTTGATGCTGCTGACTCATCAGAAGCAGACGAGATCGATGCTGAATGGATGGAGGCAGCGGAGCAAGCGTTAGCTGCAGCAGAAGCTGCTGCGAGCGCTGCTGGTGCTGCTGCTGGCCACACTGCTGTCACTGGTGGGAATGAAGGTGTTTCTGCTTCTGCTGGTGTGTTTGCTGCTCCTTCCGTTGTGGCTGCTGTGAGTTGTGCTGCCGTATTTGTGGGCGCTGCGAAATTGCAGCAAGGAAGGGAGGATGGAGAAGGGACGAGCAGAGAAGCCATGCCTCCTCCTCCCATCGTTCCACTCCCTAAGTCCATGCCACCTCCCAACAGCGCATCTCCCAGACGTCCATTCAGCAAGTCTAACACGTCAGCAGCCGAACCGTTTCCAGCCACGTCAGCACACGGAGCTGACATGTCATCGCATAAACACGACATGTCATCAGCACATGGCATGTCCCCGCATACTCCTGCGGTGCCTGCCTTTGGTCCGATCACATCACGCCACATGTCACCAGTGACCCCTCCATCGATGTACGTTCCATCACCAACCACTACCATCCAGCACATGCCGCCTGCCCCTTCACACCGCCACTTTGCCCCATCAGTTGCCCCCAGATTCACCACTCCTGTGAGTGACAGTACACCTACACATGCATTACATGCAGCAGCCCCTCCAGAGCAGGAATGTCTCAGGCAAGCTGGGATACCGCAGAAGCACGTAGCCACACGTTCTCCTCAACGAGAACAGGCAACAACTGCTGTTGGTCTTCAGCGTTCCACACCAGCCACACCAACCCCTATTCGCCCCTTTCCTCCCAACGTGGCACCTGCATCCTCGGTACAAGCAGCTCCAGTACCAGCCGGATCAGCGGCAGCAAGTTCAGTGTGCGGTTCATATACAAGTGGAGGTTACGTTGCAGGAAGTAGAGGCTTGTTGGATGCCAGAAGCGCATGCCCTGATGCTTCTGCTGCCGGCATCTCTTTGGAGGGGCAGGGTGCTTGGGCCTTGAGGCGGCATCTGGGCTCTGACTTAGGCCCAGGATGCCGTCTGTTTGAAACACCTGAAAAAGAACCTGGGGGGAGTTGGGCGTACAGCACGAGCAGAGCAGAGATTGCGGCAGGTGATGATGGGGAGGGGCAAGTAGGGAATTGCACAGGGATATGTCCAAGCGTGCAACCAGTGCAGGCGGAAGGCATGGCAGAGGTGGCAGCAGCAGCAGCATTGGCAGCACCAGAAGAGGCAACAGCGGCAGCAGAAACAACAGCAGCTAGAGAGGCGGCAACAGAAGCAGCTGCAACAGAATCTGCACTGGGTTCTCTAGGGTGGAGAGTGGTGAAGCCAAGGCTTGACTCGGATGGGCGCACTGGGGTGGGAGAAACGAGCATGCGGGAATATGGTGAGGCAATGGGGCATGTGAAAGTAGGTAGCGAGTGGGGTGAAGGGAAGGGATGTCTAGATAGAGATTCTGAAGACGTAGGAGGAGGCGAGGGTGGAGGAGCAGCAGGCAATGTGGTAGTTGCAGAAGCAGGAGCAGCAGAAGAAGTTGGAGATGCAGGAAAAGTAGCTGCAGAAGTGGAAGAAACAGAAGCTGCACCAGCAGCAATAGCAGCAAGAGAAGTGGAGGCAGTGGCACAAGTTGTAGCAGAAGTAGCAGAAGCAGGAGCGTGTGTAAGCAAGGAGGAGCCTTACTTGGCGCGGTTGAATGCAGAGCAGAGGGCAGCAGCAGCAGCAGATGTGGACCGACCACTGCTGGTGCTCGCAGGACCAGGAAGCGGCAAGGTTAGTCCTGTGTGGTGTGGTATGGTGTGGTTTGGCGTGGTGTGGTGTGGTGTAGTATGGTGCAGTGTGGCCCTGCAGCAGCAGCAGATGTGGACCGACCACTCCTGGTGCTCGCAGGGCTGAGAAGCGGCAAGGATAGTCCTGTGTGGTTTGGTGTGGTGCCTCGCATTCCTATCCCCCCTCTTCTCCCTCTCCCTCCCCCTCCCTCCACCAGACCTCAACCATAGTCGCTCGCATCCTGCATCTGCACCATGCGGGTGTGCTGCTATCAGCAGGCACCTCAAAACTCCGTCCACTCTCCTCTCTCCTCTCCCACCTGTTCTCCCTCTCCCTCCCCCTTAGTCGCTCCATCGCCCCTTCCCCCCATTCCCCCTTGCTTTTTCGCCCCCTCCACCAGACCTCGACCATGGTAGCTCGCATCCTGCATCTGCACCATGTGGGTGTGTCGTTATCAGCAGGCACCTCAAAACTCCTTCCACTTCCTCTCTCTCTTCCCCTCCTCCACCTCCTCTCTCCCTTTCCCCCCTTTCTCGCTCATTCCCCCCTTCCTCCAGACCTCGACCATGGTAGCTCGAATTCTTCATCTCCTCCACGTGGGTGTGCCAGCCAATCGCATCCTCGCAATGACCTTCACCACAGCAGCAGCCAATGAGATGCGTGAACGCGTGCTGGCCAGCCAAGGGAGGCGGTCGGCAGGCAAGAAGACTGGGGCAACTGGGAAAGGAAGGAGAGAAAACAAGGGAGGGGCGAGAAGTATGGTTGACAAGGAAGGAAAGGAGGATGAGGAAGAGAACGGAGGGAAGGAAGGGAAGGAAGGGAAGGAGGAGGAGGGAGAGGAGGGAGTGACAGGGGAAGTGGCAGTGAGCACTTTCCATTCGCTGTGCCTGCAGCTGTGCAGGAGCCATGCTGACAAGTGAGTTCTGTTCTTTGCTTTAAGGTTGAGGCGTGTTCGAAAAAGGGTGCGGTGCAATATGGTCGGGGACGGTGAGCGCGAGAGGTTGAATTCCTCAACTCCCTGTGCTTGCATCTGTTCAAAACCATCACAGGAAAGTGAGTTCTGAGGTAAAGGTGTCTTGCTTCCGCCCACCATCAACCCCCTCTTCACACCCACTCCCCTCTCAGGTTTGGGCGCACAGCGGATTTTCTTGTGCTTGGGCACAAGCAGCAGAGGAAGCCATCTCTCCTCAGTAGCCCACCTATTGTCTCTGCCTTTCCCGCCCTCTCCTCCTGTCTGCACCCACTAACCAACCCCCTCTGCTCACTCATGTTCTCCCAGGTTTGGGCGCACAGTGGATTTCCTTGTGTTTGGGCACAAGCAGCAGCGGAGAGCCATCACTCACTTATCCACCTGCTGCCCACGCATTTCCTGCCCTCTCCTCCTGTCCCAGGTTTGGGCGCACGGCGGATTTCCTTGTGTTTGGGCACAAGCAGCAGCGGAGAGCCATTACAGAGGCTGTTCGACTGGCGCTGGGGGATGGGGGGGATAGCGTCGGGATAGGGGAGAAGGGCGAGAAAGGGGAGAAAGGGGAGAAGAGGGAGGGAGAAGCGAGCAGGGGAGAGGGGGGTGTGTGGAAGCAGCGGAGAGAGGACAGGCAAGTTGGTCGAGACTGTAATGGAAGGGCATTTGCAGCAGCTGGAGGTGCAGGGACAGCGGGCGTGGGAGGGTCAGGCAGGTGGGCAGAGAAGGGGAATAAGGAGAATGAAGAAGGGAAGGGAGGAGGGAACAAGGGAGAGAGTGTGGAGGAGAGGGTGGGGAGGGAGGTGGAGGAGTTGAAGAGGAGCCGAGCAGCAGCAGCGAAATGGGTCAAGTTCGTTGTGAGGGTGAGTGACAAGGGAGTTTTGAGTAAGTACGTGGAAGTTCTGCCCTCCCCTCTATCTGTTACTCATGCAATGGAATTAGAAGCTAACATCTCCCGTCCATTGTGGTCTCTGTCCTGTTCAGCTCCTCATGATGTGTTGCATGATCCTAACCTTCCATCCAACATGCTCCCACATCCTCACCCCACTGCCCACGCCACCCAATGGCACACGATCCAGCCAAAAGTTAACGTATCAAGCGCATTCCTGTTTCTCTCCATCCCGTTCGGTTCCACATGACATGCCGCTTGCACCTCACTTATTCTCACGCCCCCACCCTGTGGCCCCTCTCCCACTACCACAGGCCAAGGCAGCAGGTCAGACAGCAGAGACTTTTGAAGCTCGGGGCAACCAGGAAGCAGTAAGGCTTTATCTCTCACCATGCTCTGGTGGCTTCTGGTCCTTTCAACACTTTGTCGATTTTCAGGATAGCGCCCTCTTTCCCCTTCACCTGCTTGATTCCCCTCTCTCCTCTCCTCCCAAGCACGATTCTTGCATTGCATGTAGATGCATGTCTGCTGCTCCAGGCAGTGTGTGTCCATCGCATTGCAATGCTGTGGTGGGACTGGACTGATTGCGCCCCTTCCTCCCCGTTACCTCCCCTTCTCCTTCCCTCCTTTTAGGCACGTGTATTGTGCTGTGCTCCAGGCAGCGTGTGTCCATTGCATTGCAATGCCGTGGTGGGATTGGATGGAATGCTGGTACCCCTCTCTCCGCTTACCTGCCTTTTACCTTCCCTTCTCCCAGGCCCGTGTCTTGCGAGCATATGCATCTGTGCTGGAGAAATGCAATGCGGTGGACTATCATGACTTCATCCTACTATCAACCATGCTGCTCACACAGCATGCTGACGGTGAGTGCTGGTTGCATGCTGGTTACTGGGGTGGTGTTGCGACCATGCAAAGCAAAGCAATGCGGCGGAGTGGACTATCACGACCTCATCCTGCTCTCCACCATGCTGCTCACGAAGCACAGTGATGGTGAGTGCTGGTTCCTGGGGTGGCTCTGCTAGCTACGTTGCATGCAGTGATGTTCGGTGGACTGTCACGACTTCATCCCGCTCTCCGTCATGCCGCTCACGAAGCACACTGATGGTGAGTGCTGGTTCCTGGGGTGGCCCTGGGGTGGCCCTGGGGTGGCCCTGCTAGCTAGCTACCATGCATGCAGTGCCGTGCAGTGGACTATCACGACTTCGTCCTGCTCTCCGCCATGCTACTCGCACAGCACAGCGATGGTGCGTTTCAGTTGCATGCTGGTTCATGGAAAGGCACTGATGCTGATTATTAGTGGGTGTATGGGTATGAATGAAGGTGATCACTGAAGATGATCCTACTCTCAAGCAGTGATGCTGCAGACTATGTGACTTTTGAGTCGACTCAGAAGTCACCTGATTATTAGTGGGTGTATGAATGACGAGATGCCGATAATCGTATTTTCAAGCAGTGATGATGCGGATCATCATCCACTCTTTTTCCTCGCCCTTTTCTCCTGTCCCGTGTGCAATGCTTGTGGAACTTATGTTAGTATGGTCGCACGTACTGGTGGGCGAGTTTCAATACACCTTAACCAACCGCGTTGCACCTCTCAATACCTCCATTTCTCCCCTAACACACTGCTGCTGCAGTGCTGCAGGAATGCACGTCGTCAGCATGGACGCGCGTACTGGTGGACGAGTTTCAAGACACCTCGACCAGTTTCACCTGCAGCAATCACTCCCTTGCACCACTTTCTCCTCCTCTATTCCAGTGCTGCAGGAGTGCATGTCGTCAGGATGGACGCGCGTGCTGGTGGACGAGTTTCAAGACAGCTCCCGCATCCTTTCTGCGTCCACGAGGGTTGCAGCCACACCGTGCATCCCTTTTTCTCCCCTCTTTCGCCCCTCCTATGCTGCTGCAGTGCTGCAGGAGTGCACGGCAGCATGGACGCACGTACTGGTGGACGAGTTTCAAGACACCTCGCGAATCCAGTTTTCGTTCGTCAAGGCTCTCTGCGGCACACATGGGCGCATCACCGTTGTGGGGGATGACGACCAGGTGGGTGTGAGGGGGGTTGATGACCAGGTGGGTGTGAGGGGGGTTGATGACCAGGTGGGTGCGAGGGGGGTTGATGACCAGGTGGGTGTGAGGGGGGTTGATGACCAGGTGGGTGTGAGGGGGGTTGTTGACCAGGTGGGTGTGAGGGGGGTTGTTGACCAGGTGAAATGTATGGGGGGTGATGGTCCCAGACACCTCCCACATCCAATTCGCGTTCGTCAAGGCTCTCTGCAGCACTCACGGGCGCATCACTGTTGTGGGGGACGACGACCAGGTGGGTGTGAGGGCACAATGATCAGGGGCAATGAGAAGGGGTGCGTGGGATGGGAATCGGTCGTCAAGGCTCACTGTCACTCACACGGGCGCATCACTGTTGTGGGTGACGACGACCAGGTGCGGTTGAGGGGTGTGATGACCGGTTCCTAAGGTGAGTGCAAAGGGAAGGACCAGTGGCCCAGACGAGTTCCAAGACACCTCGCGCATTCAGTTCGCGTTCGTCAAGGCTCTCTGCGGCACTCATGGGCGCATCACTGTTGTGGGGGACAACGACCAGGTGCGGTTGAGGGGTGTGATGACCGGTTCCTAAGGTGAGTGCAAAGGGGAGGGACCAGCAGCCCAGGTGCGGTTGGGTTGAGGGGTGTGATGACCGGTTGGTTCCTGAGGTTTGTGAGAAGGGGAGGGACCAGCAGCCCACACAAGCACACACATCCAGTTCGCGTTCGTTAAGGCTCTCTGTCACTCTCACGGGCGCATCACTGTTGTGGGGTGGGGTGTCGGTATCCCGGTATCCCGGTATCCCGGTATCCCGGTTTCCCGGTTTCCCGGATTCCCGGTTTTCCGGTTTTTCGGTTTCCCGGTATCCCGGTTTCCCGGTTTCCCGGTTTCCCGGTATCCCGGTTTCCCGGTATCCCGGTATCCCGGTTTCCCGGTATCCCGATTTCCCGGTATCCCGGTTTCCCGGTTTCCCGGTATCCCCATATCCCGGTATCCCGGTATCCAGGTTTCCCGGTTTCCCGGTTTCTCGGTTTCCCGGTTTCCCGGTTTCCCGGTATCCCGGTATCCCGGTATCCCGGTTTCCCGGTTTCCCGGTTTCCCGGATTCCCGGTATCCCGGTTTTTCGGTTTCCCGGTATCCCGGTATCCCGGTTTCCCGGTTTCCCGGTTTCCCAGTATCCCGGTATCCCGGTATCCAGGTACCCCAGTTTCCCGGTATCCCGGTTTCCCGGTTTCCCGGTTTCCCGGTTTCCCGGTATCCCGGTATCCCGGTATCCCGGTATCCCGGTATTTCCGGTTTCCCGGTATCCCGGTATCCAGGTTTACCGGTATCCCGGTATCCCTGTATCCCGGTATCCCGGTTTCCCGGTTTCCCGGTTTCCCGGTTTCCCAGTATCCCGGTATCCCGGTATCCCGGTGTCCTGGTATCCCAGTTTCCCGGTTTCCCGGTTTCCCGGTATCCCGGTATCCCGGTATCCCGGTTTCCCGGTTTCCCGGTATCCCGGTTTCTCGGTATCCCGGTATCCCGGTATCCCGATATCCCGGTATCCCAGTTTCCCGGTTTCCCGGTTTCCCGGTATCCCGGTATCCCGGTATCCCGGTTTCCCGGTTTCCCGGTATCCCGGTTTCTCGGTATCCCGGTATCCCGGTATCCCGATATCCCGGTATCTCGGTCGGGTATCCCGGTTAGGGTTGAGAAAAAACAAGAACACCTGTTCGGTTCGCCTCGAACGTGTTCGAAGTGAACCGAACAGGTTTTTTTTTTTGGCTTAAAATGTTCGCCGAACAGTGTTCGATGTTCGCCCGAACACGTTCGTGTTCGGGCCGCTGCTGCGATTTGCCCGCGACAAACACGAACAGTGTTCGAGGTTCGCCCGAACACGCCTTCACAGGCGAACGGCGAACACAATTTTTTGCTCGAAGTGTTCGCCGAACCGAACAGTGTTCAGTTCGGCAAACGAAGGTGTTCCTGTAGGGGCGAACACGAACACGTTCGTGTTCGCCACTTGCTCATCCCTAATCCCGGTTTCCCGGTTTCCCGGTATCCCGGTTTCCCACTTTCCCAATTTCCCGGTTTCCCGGTTTCCCGGTTTCCCGGTATCCCGGTTTCCCGGTATCCCGGTTTCCCGGTTTCCCGGTTTCTTGGTTTCCCGGTATCCCCGTATCCCGGAATCTCGGTATCCCGGTATCCCGGTCTCCGGGTATCCCGTTATCCGGGTTTCCCGGTATCCTGGTATCCCGGTTTCCCGGTTTCCCGGTTTCCCGGTTTCCCGGTTTCCCGGTATCCCGGTATCCTGGTATCCCGGTATCCCGGTATCCCGGTTTCCCGGTTTTTCCCTTTCCCCGTTTCCCCGTGTCCCGGTTTCCCGGTATCCCGGCTTCCCGGTTTCCCGGTTTCCCGGTTTCCCGGTTTCCCGGCTTCCCGGTATCCCGGTATCCCGGTATCCCGGTATCCTGGTATCCCGGTATCCCGCTTTCCCGGAATTCCGGTATCCCGGTATCCCGGTATCCTGGTATCCAGCTTCCCGGTATCCTGGTATCCCAGTCGGGTATCCCGATATCCCGGTTTCCCGGTTTCCCGGTTTCCCGGTTTCCCGATTTCCCGATTTCCCGGTTTCCCGGTTTCCCGGTATCCCGGGTTCCCGGTTTCCCGGTTTCCCGGTATCCCGGTATCCCGGTTTCCCAGTTTCCCGGTTTCCCGGTTTCCCGGTATCCCGGTATCCCGGTATCCCGGTATCCTGGTATCCCGGAATCCCGATTTCCCGGTTTCCCGGTTTCCCGGTTTCCCGGTTTCCCGGTTTCCCGGTATCCCGGTATCCCGGTATCCCGGTATCCCGGTTTCCCGGTATCCAGGTATCCCGGTTTCCCGGAATTCCGGTATCCCGGTATCCCGGTATCCCGGTATCCAGCTTCCCGGAATCCTGGTATCCCAGTCGGGTATCCCGATATCCCGGTTTCCCGATTTCCCGGTTTCCCGGTTTCCCGGTATCCCGGGTTCCCGGTTTCCCGGTTTCCCGGTTTCCCGGTATCCCGGTATCCCGGTTTCCCAGTTTCCCGGTTTCCCGGTTTCCCGGTTTCCCGGTTTCCCGGTATCCCGGTATCCCGGTATCCTGGTATCCCGGAATCCCGATTTCCTGGTTTCCCGGTTTCCCGGTTTCCCGGTTTCCCGGTTTCCCGGTTTCCCGGTATCCCGGTATCCCGGTATCCCGGTATCCCGGTTTCCCTGTATCCCGGTATCCCGGTTTCCCGGAATTCCGGTATCCCGGTATCCCGGTATCCCGGTATCCAGCTTCCCGGAATCCTGGTATCCCAGTCGGGTATCCCGATATCCCGGTTTCCCGATTTCCCGGTTTCCCGGTTTCCCGGTATCCCGGGTTCCCGGTTTCCCGGTTTCCCGGTTTCCCGGTATCCCGGTTTCCCAGTTTCCCGGTTTCCCGGTTTCCCGGTTTCCCGGTTTCCCGGTATCCCGGTATCCCGGTATCCTGGTATCCCGGAATCCCGATTTCCTGGTTTCCCGGTTTCCCGGTTTCCCGGTTTCCCGGTTTCCCGGTTTCCCGGTATCCCGGTATCCCGGTATCCCGGTTTCCCGGTATCCCGGTATCCCGGTTTCCCGGAATTCCGGTATCCCGGTATCCCGGTATCCCGGTATCCAGCTTCCCGGAATCCTGGTATCCCAGTCGGGTATCCCGATATCCCGCTTTCCCGGTTTCCCGGTTTCCCGATTTCCCGATTTCCCGGTTTCCCGGTTTCCCGGTATCCCGGGTTCCCGGTTTCACGGTTTCCCGGTTTCCCGGTATCCCGGTATCCCGGTTTCCCGGTTTCCCGGTTTCCCGGTTTCCCGGTTTCCCGGTTTCCCGGTATCCTGGTATCCCGGAATCCCGATTTCCCGGTTTCCCGGTTTCCCGGTTTCCCGGTTTCCCGGTTTCCCGGTTTCCCGGTATCCCGGTATCCCGGTATCCCGGTATCCCGGTTTCCCGGTTTCCCGGTTTCCCGGTATCCCGGTATCCCGGTATCCCGGTATCCCGGTTTCCCGGTTTCCCGGAATCCCGGTATCCCGGTATCCCGGTATCCAGGTTTCCCAGTATCCCGGTATCCCGGTATCCCGGTTTCCCAGTTTCCTGGTTTCCCGGTTTCCCGGTTTCCCGGTATCTCGGTATCCCGGTATCACGGTATCCCGGTTTCCGGGTATCCCGGTATCCCGGTATCCCGGTATCCCGGTATCCCGGTATCCTGGTATCCCGGAATCCCGGTTTCCCGGTTTCCCGGTTTCCCGGTTTCCCGGTTTCCCGGTTTCCCGGTTTCCCGGATTCCCGGTTTCCCGGTTTCCCGGTTTCCCGGTTTCCCGGTATCCCGGTATCCCGGTATCCCGGTTTCCCGGTATCCCGGTATCCCGCTTTCCCGGTATCCCGCTTTCCCGGTATCCCGGTTTCCCGGTATCCCGGTATCCCGGTATCCAGGTTTCCCGGTTTCCCGGTTTCTCGGTATCCCGGTATACCGGTATCCGGGTATCCCGGTTTCACGGTTTCCCGATTTCTCGGTATCCAGGTTTCCCGGTTTCCCGGTTTCCCGATTTCCCGGTATCCAGGTTTCCCGGTTTCCCGGTTTCCCGGTTTCTCGGTATCCCGGTATACCGGTATCCGGGTATCCCGGTATCCCGGTATCCCGGTATCCTGGTATCCCGGTATCCCGGTTTCCCGGAATTCCGGTATCCCGGTATCCCGGTATCCCGGTATCCAGCTTCCCGGTATCCTGGTATCCCAGTCGGGTATCCCGATATCCCGGTTTCCCGGTTTCCCGGTTTCCCGGTTTCCCGATTTCCCGATTTCCCGGTTTCCCGGTTTCCCGGTATCCCGGGTTCCCGGTTTCCCGGTTTCCCGGTATCCCGGTATCCCGGTTTCCCAGTTTCCCGGTTTCCCGGTTTCCCGGTATCCCGGTATCCCGGTATCCCGGTATCCTGGTATCCCGGAATCCCGATTTCCCGGTTTCCCGGTTTCCCGGTTTCCCGGTTTCCCGGTTTCCCGGTATCCCGGTATCCCGGTATCCCGGTATCCCGGTTTCCCGGTATCCAGGTATCCCGGTTTCCCGGAATTCCGGTATCGCGGTATCCCGGTATCCCGGTATCCAGCTTCCCGGAATCCTGGTATCCCAGTCGGGTATCCCGATATCCCGGTTTCCCGATTTCCCGGTTTCCCGGTTTCCCGGTATCCCGGGTTCCCGGTTTCCCGGTTTCCCGGTTTCCCGGTATCCCGGTATCCCGGTTTCCCAGTTTCCCGGTTTCCCGGTTTCCCGGTTTCCCGGTTTCCCGGTATCCCGGTATCCCGGTATCCTGGTATCCCGGAATCCCGATTTCCTGGTTTCCCGGTTTCCCGGTTTCCCGGTTTCCCGGTTTCCCGGTTTCCCGGTATCCCGGTATCCCGGTATCCCGGTATCCCGGTTTCCCGGTATCCCGGTATCCCGGTTTCCCGGAATTCCGGTATCCCGGTATCCCGGTATCCCGGTATCCAGCTTCCCGGAATCCTGGTATCCCAGTCGGGTATCCCGATATCCCGGTTTCCCGATTTCCCGGTTTCCCGGTTTCCCGGTATCCCGGGTTCCCGGTTTCCCGGTTTCCCGGTTTCCCGGTATCCCGGTATCCCGGTTTCCCAGTTTCCTGGTTTCCCGGTTTCCCGGTTTCCCGGTTTCCCGGTATCCCGGTATCCCGGTATCCTGGTATCCCGGAATCCCAATTTCCTGGTTTCCCGGTTTCCCGGTTTCCCGGTTTCCCGGTTTCCCGGTTTCCCGGTATCCCGGTATCCCGGTATCCCGGTATCCCGGTTTCCCGGTATCCCGGTATCCCGGTTTCCCGGAATTCCGGTATCCCGGTATCCCGGTATCCCGGTATCCAGCTTCCCGGAATCCTGGTATCCCAGTCGGGTATCCCGATATCCCGGTTTCCCGGTTTCCCGGTTTCCCGGTTTCCCGATTTCCCGATTTCCCGGTTTCCCGGTATCCCGGTATCCCGGGTTCCCGGTTTCCCGGTTTCCCGGTTTCCCGGTATCCCGGTATCCCGGTTTCCCGGTTTCCCGGTTTCCCGGTTTCCCGGTTTCCCGGTTTCCCGGTATCCTGGTATCCCGGAATCCCGATTTCCCGGTTTCCCGGTTTCCCGGTTTCCCGGTTTCCCGGTTTCCCGGTTTCCCGGTATCCCGGTATCCCGGTATCCCGGTATCCCGGTATCCCGGTTTCCCGGTTTCCCGGTATCCCGGTATCCCGGTATCCCGGTATCCCGGTTTCCCGGTTTCCCGGAATCCCGGTATCCCGGTATCCCGGTATCCAGGTTTCCCAGTATCCCGGTATCCCGGTATCCCGGTTTCCCAGTTTCCCGGTTTCCCGGTTTCCCGGTATCTCGGTATCCCGGTATCACGGTATCCCGGTTTCCGGGTATCCCGGTATCCCGGTATCCCGGTATCCCGGTATCCCGGTATCCCGGTATCCTGGTATCCCGGAATCCCGGTTTCCCGGTTTCCCGGTTTCCCGGTTTCCCGGTTTCCCGGTTTCCCGGTTTCCCGGTTTCCCGGTTTCCCGGTATCCCGGTATCCCGGTATCCCGGTTTCCCGGTTTCCCGGTTTCCCAGTATCCCGGTATCCCGGTATCCCGGTATCCCGGTATCCCGGTATCCCGGTATCCCGGTTTTCCGGTATCCCGGTATCCCGGTATCACGGTATCCCGGTTTCCGGGTTTCCCGGTTTCCCGGTTTCCCGGTTTCCCGGTTTCCCGGTATCCCGGTATCCCGGTATCCCGGTTTCCCGGTATCCCGGTATCCCGGTTTCCCGGTATCCCGGTTTCCCGGTATCCCGGTATCCCGGTATCCCGGTTTCCCGGTTTCCCGGTTTCCCGGTTTCTCGGTATCCCGGTATCCCGGTATCCCGGTATCCCGGTTTCCCGGTTTCCCGGTTTCCCGGTTTCCCGGGGAGGGACTATTGTAGGTGATTCAGCCCAGACGAGTTCCAAGACACCTCGCACATCCAGTTTGCGTTCGTCATGGCTCTCTGTGGCCCCCACGGGTGCGTCACTGTTGTGGGGGACGATGATCAGGTGGGAGTGAGGGGAATGACGACCAGATGAAACGAATGGGGGAATGACCAGGTCGGGGTGGGAGGTGTTGGGAAATCGTGTTGCACACCCTACGTTCCTGTGGTCTACAGCTGTGCCTCGCCCTCTTCCTCACAGTATGTTCTATCCACATGCGCGTCTGTGCCTCGTTGCCGTGTTGGCAAACGTCTCTCCTGCCCTGCGTTCCCATGCAGTCGATATTCAGCTTCAATGGAGCCAATGCAGCCTCATTCTCTTTCTCGCAGTGTGCTGAGTGCTCATGTTCCATCCGCACGCATTTCTGTGCCTCGTTGCCGTGTTGGCAAACGTCTCCCACACCCTGCGCTCCTGTGCAGTCCATATTCAGCTTCAATGGAGCCAATGCAGCCTCGTTCGACATGTTCCGAGAGCAGTTCCCTGACCACACAGAGGTGAGAGCAGCAGTGGGGTGAATATCGGAGTTGACTCAATAATCAGGGCAGCCTCGTTTGACATGTTCCGAGAGCAGTTCCCTGACCACACAGAGGTGAGAGCAGCAGTGGGGTGAATATCGGAGTTGACTCAACAATCAGTGCAGCCTCGTTTGACATGTTCCGAGAGCAGTACCCTGACCACACAGAGGTGAGAGCAGCAGTGGGGTGAATATCGGAGTTGACTCAATAATCAATGCAGCCTCGTTCGACATGTTCCAAGAGCAGTTCCCCGACCACACAGAGGTGAGAGCATGGCTAGGTGAGATCATAGGGAGGTACAACCACATGCGTTCCTGTGCAGTCTATATTCACTTCAACGGCGCCAATGCAGCCTCGTTTTAACATGTTTCAAGAGCAGTTCCCGGACCACACTGAGGTGAGAGCACAGCCAGGTGAGTGCACAAGTAGTGCGCGCATCACATGTGCATCTGAGCAGCACCATACACCACGCACTGCATTCCCTCCTCATCCAATTTCCCCCGTCCCCTTACACTGCCTCCACCCCTTCTCAGGTGCGGCTGTGTCGCAACTACCGCTCCACAGGCACCATAGTGCGGGCCTCTGCTGCGTGCTCGTGCCTCTGGGTGACACTGCTCCCCCTCCCTCCCCATGCACTGCCTCCCTCCCGCTCCCTCCCAGGTGCGTTTGTGCCGCAACTGTCGCTCCACGGGCACCATAGTGCGCGCCTCTGCTGCTGTCATTGCACAGAACTTCCCTCCCCCCTCTTCTTTCCCCCCTCCCGCTCCCTCTCAGGTGCGGCTGTGTCGCAACTATCGCTCCACAGGCACCATAGTGCGGGCCTCGGCCGCCGTCATCTCGCAGAACTTTCCAGGAAGGAGGGCGGCCAAAGAGCTGTGCACTGACAACGGCGATGGGGAGAAGATCAGGTGGGGAAGGAAAGCCCTTTGGGCCCTCAAGAAAAGGTCGAGTTTTGAGATGTCTCAAAACTTTTTAAAAGAAAAGGGCGGCCAAGGAGCTGTGCACTGACAACGGCGATGGGGAGAAGATCAGGTGGGAATAAAGTAGTGAAAGGATTGGGAGAGGGGTATTGTGTGGGTAAGGTCAAGTGTTCTGAAAAGGGCATTTGCATTGGGTAAGGATGTTTTTTAAAGGGGTTGTACTGTTCACAAATCGATATTCAAGAAGGGAACAGCGGTGGCCATAGGACTCATATGCTCGTAGTTCTTGTCATCCCTCGTCCCTCCGTTTGCTACCCATCCATGTCCGTCTGTGCATGGCAGGGTGGTGGAGGTCCGAAACGAAGCATGCTCCCTAGTCGCTGATGCTATCATGCCTTTCATGCACCAAATGCACCGCGTTCAGCCATCAATCCCTTCTCCCTTCCCCTTCCACATGGCAGGGTGGTGGAGGTGCGCAACGAAGCAGCGCTGCGCTGGTCGCCGATGCAACCACTTCCCTCGTGTATCAAATGCACCAATTTCACCGTGTTCCATGGCTGTGTGGTGTTATTCCCTCCTCCCTTCTCTCCACATGTTTGAAGAAGTGTTTTGAGACGTCTCAAAACACTTCTTCAAACGTGTTCCATGGCTGTGTGGTGTTATTCCCTCCTCCCTTCTCTCCACATGGCAGGGTGGTGGAGGTGCGCAACGAAGCAGCACAGTGTGCGCTGGTCGCCGATGCCATCATGTCCTTCATGAACCAAATGCACCGCGTACAACCGCACACCACTACTGCAGCTACGACCATAACCACCGGCGTCACTACCAACACCAGTGCCAGCGGCAGCAGCACTGCAGCAGGGAACGCAGCAGCAGATAACGCAGCAGCAGGGAGCAGTGCAACAGGGAGCAGTGCAACAGGGACTGCAGCAGGTGTCCCCCTGGCGTGGAGCGATGTGGCAGTGCTGTACCGGCGGCAGGTGACTGGCAGGGCGTTTCAGGCCGCGATGAGGGAGAGGAAGATCCCCTTTAACGTGCATGGCGTGGCGTTTTACAGGAAGAAGGTGAGATGCGTTTGCAAGGCATATAGAACAAGCACAGGCAGGCCCTGGAATAGGCCGGCTGTTGCAGGGCAGGGTGTGATGAGAGAGAGGGCAGGGTGTGATGAGAGAGAGGGCAGGGTGTGATGAGAGAGAGGGCAGGGTGTGATGAGAGAGAGGGCAGGGTGTGATGAGAGAGAGGGCAGGGTGTGATGAGAGAGAGGAGGATCCCCTACAACGTGCATGGCGTGGCGTTCTACCGGAAGAAGGTGCGTTTCAGATCCACTACCATGGTTTGAAGCACTTGTATGCCAAAAACAGACAGCAAGCTCAAGTGCCCTTCCCTCTGCCCTCCCTCACTCTGCACATCCTCAGGCCTGAGCAATGTGCTGTCTCTGCTGGGCCTCTCCCTATACCCTAAGCACGAATTCCTGGACAGGCATTCACCTCCGATAACAAGTGTGCTTCCTTTCGCCCCTCCACTATTCTCCCCTCCTTCTCCCTTTCCCCAGGCCCTGCGCAACGTGCTTGCTCTGTTGCGCCTCTCCCTCCCTGCGCTAGTGGACAACACTGCCGCCCGGAGAGTCTGGAAGCTGCTGTTCAGCCGCGAAAAGGACGAGGCAAAGAAGGTGAAATGCTCTTGAGAATTCCTTGTTCCCAAGAACAGATGGCAGTGGCTCTTTTGAAGGCGCCTGAATATAAATACCATGAAACCTCTGGGAAGGCCCTGGCTATGACTGTTCTGGAAAGCAACCACTGCTGTGAGAAACTAGTGAAGGTCTTGAATCTTGATCTGCCCCACCACTCCTCTCTTTCTCAAACCACCGCTGCTCCCCGTTCACCTCACCTAAATCCCCCTCCTCTTTTGCTGCCTGACACACCCCAACCCCCAACATCCCACCCCACAACATGTCATCGCCCAATTTCCCACCGCCCAACACCGCACCACTCCACTTACCACCACCATAGCTCACCTCGCTTTTCTCTCTTTACTGTCACCTGAGCCCCCCTACTCTGTGTCACCTCCGTCACATCGCACCCCACCATTCCCTCAACAGGCTGCAGATCACGTGGAGCAGAGGGCTAGGGACCGAGGCTGCAGCTTCCTGGAAGCTGCAGAGACTATTTTCTCAGGGAAAGTGTCAGGAAGGTTCACAAGGTGAGTGAGTGGGATGTATTATTGATAAGACGGGATGGGATGGGATGGGATGGAATGGCATGGGATGGGATGGGATGGGATGGGATGGCATGGGATGGGATGGGATGGGATGGGATGGGATGGGATGGGATGGGATGGGATGGGATGGGATGGGATGGGATGGGATGGGATGGGATGGGATGGGATGGGATGGGATGGGGTGGGGTGGGGTGGGATGGGTTGAGATGACATGACATGAGATGAGATGAGATTAAATGAGATCTGCTGCCCACGCATTCTCTCCCTACCTCCCTGCTGCCCACGCATTCTCTCCCTACCTCCCGTAACCCTGCCTCCACATTTCTCCATACATCCACGCATCCACCTCCTGCCCATTCCAGGAATTAGCCCAAAGCCGGTGCATCTGTCCTCACTACCACGTTCCTCCATGTGCCCATACGTCCTTTGAGACGTCTCAAAGCCGGCTTTTGAGACGTCTCAAAGCCGGTGCATCTGTCCTCACTACCTCGTTCCTCCATGTGCCCATACGTCCACCTCCTGACCAACCCAGGAAGCAGCTTAGAGCCGGTGCTTCTGTGCTCACCACTATCCGCATCGCTCGCAACCTCCTCAAAACGGTCAGTGCTGTGCTGTTCCAACTTGCACCCGTCTGAAGGCTCTAGCTCATTATACCGGTGCTGCTGCGCAACCTATCCACATCACTCTGTCGCCTTTTGAGTCGACTCAAAAGTCACCTCGTCTGAAGGCTCTAGCTCATCATACCCAACCTATGCTGCTGCGCAACCTATCCACATCACTCTGTCGCCTTTTGAGTCGACTCAAAAGTCACCTCGTCTGAAGGCTCTAGCTCATCATACCCAGCCTATGCTGCTGCGCAACCTATCCACATCACTCTGTCGCCTCACCCACCCACCACCCATGCATCACCCACCCACCCATCCAAGAGGAGACTTTTGAGTCGACTCAAACATCGTCCATGCTTCACCTACCCACCCATCCATCCATCAGGAGGTGTCATTAACATCTTTTGTCCACTCCATCATCAAGCTCATAGCTCTTTGTCCACTCCACAAATCACCCATCCATCACCCCCCGTGCGTCACCCCCCATCCATCACCCCCCGTGCATCACCCCCCGTTCATCAACCCCCATCAATCACCCCCCATCCATCACCCCCCATCCATCACCCCCCGTGCGTCACCCAACCGCCTATCCCCCACCCATCCATCCATCAGGAGGTGTCATTAACAGCTTTTGTCGACTCCATCATCAAGCTCATTCCCGAGGTGAGCAAGGTGACTTCTGAGTCAGCGCAACACAGGTGACCTCTGAGTCGGCTCAAACGAGGTGACTTCTGAGTAAGTTAAAATGTCACCTCGTAGGTGTCATTAACATCTTCTGTCGACTCCATCATCAAGCTTATTCCTAAATGAGCAAGCACAATGTCACTCTAACGAGGCGATTCTTCATTGCACACACACACAGTGGCACTTTACTGAGAAGGGATGTGCCATCCACTCTATGGTCGTCCCAAAGCAAAGCAAACTGGCGCGCTCATCCACTCTATGCCACTCTCTAAGCAAAGCACACAAGCCACTCGCTGCCATAGGGTCAATGTCTTAGCCGCTTCAACTGTTGTCTCAGACCTCACTCTCTGACTCTTCCCTTCCCCTCATTGTTCGATCCTTTTCCCTCTCACCTCTGCCATTCACGTACCGCAGAGAGCTGCATTCTCGTCGCGTGCAACAGTGAGCGAAACCTCCGGAAAGCTTCTGAATGAGGATGATGACATGCGCACGGTGGGTTCCGCTGTCATTATCCTGGTGTGCGCATGTCATCGTTTGTTGCACGATGACATGCGCACGGTGGGACTGTTTGTGCTTATCCCCATAAGCATTGGATGGGCATCGGGCTTAGCACTGGTCTGGCACTGGCTTGCAGACAATGGTTGCAGTAGAAGCCCAGCCAAGCCAACGTTCTCTCACAGTTTTTTGTCCTATCTTATAACATAGTGGCCCTGAATTCTGATGAGCACTGGCTCTGCATTAGCTTAGCATTGGCTTGGCACTGGCCTGCAGACAATGGTTGCAGTAGAAGCCCAGCCAAGCCAACGTTCTCTTACAGTTGGGCTTTCCAATCTCAAGCTGGTTTTCTTACAGTTGCTTCCAATCCAACTTATAATATGGTGGCCAGCTGATCAGCTGATCAGCTGATTCCAACATTGCCATGCCACCATCTTTCTTGCGTCAGAAGCCCGTTATTCTGGGACCCCTTATCGCACAACAGCATCATGTTTCAAAAGCAATCATTGTTTATGATTGCTGCTGCTTCTCTCCCTGCGCCACCTTCTCAGGCCTGTGAATTCAATACCTTCTATTCCACTAGCAGCTTTTGATCCCATCCAACTTCCTCTTGCTTGCACCATTCGCCCGCTCACTCTCCATTTCCTTACCCTCCGTCTCGCACCATTCCCCCACCCTCTGTTTCCTTCCCTTACTCTTCCCCCCCTCCTTTCCTACCCTCCGTCTCGCCAGGTCTGTCAATCCGTTATCGATGACATCCGTACCTTCCTCTCCCTCCATCCCCCCAATATTTTTTCTATTGCAAGTACCACCATCACCCTTCTTCTGTTTCTCCTCCCCTTTCCTTAGCCTCCGTCTCGCCAGGCCCGTCAATGTTTTATCAATAACATCCGTGCCTTCCTCTCCCTCTTCTCACCAAATTTTCGCTTGCAAGTAACGCCATCACCCTTCTCGTTCTCCTTTTCCTTCGTTTCCCCACTGCTTTCCTCGCCAGGCCCGCCAATTTCTTATCGATGACGTCAGCGCCTTCCTCTCCCTCCACACGCCCAAACCACCTGACACAGTCGCCAACGATGAAACCACCTGCAGAAACACCTGTGCTGCCGACGCTGCCACCAGCTGCTTTCCCCCCTCTGTCTTCTCCTCCTCCTCTCTTTTCTCCCCCTCCTCCTCCTCTTCCTCCTCCTGTGCTGCTCTGCTGCGAGCCTTTCTGGACTATGTAGCGGCGAGGGAGGCTCAGAACAACGCTGTGAGGCGGAAGGAGAATGAGGATTCGGTCACGCTCACCACCATGCACCAGGTGATTGGGGGCCTGTTGCTGACAGACAAGTTACCGAGTCAACTAAAAATTCGAAAATTGAGAATTGAGTGGACTCAAAATTAGTAAGGAGAATGAGGACTCGGTCACCCTCACACCACCATGCACCAGGTGAATGTGTGGCAGACAGACAGACAGACAGACGGTTGCTTCTGAGGGTTCTCACAAGGGAGACTCAGAACAACGCCGTGAGGCGGAAGGAGAATGAGGACTCGGTCACCCTCACCACCATGCACCAGGTGAATGTGGCAGGCGGACGGTTATTCCTCAGGTGGTTTCAACAGAGATTCTTCCTTCCACCAGGTTATTCAACAAGCACGCACACACCAAACGGTCCTGGAGTGGGACGCTGCACTGCTGTAATTGTTGGCTCTGGGTTCTTGCCCAAAGCTCTTTCCCCGTAAACCCCTCCCTCGGTTCTCTTCTCTTCCCCCTCACTCACCCCAGTCCAAGGGTCTGGAGTGGCACACGGTGTTCATTGTGAGCGCCAGTGAGGGGGAGACGCCTCCCACTCTCCCCAGTACCTGAACATCACTCCTCATTACCCCTTCCTCTCATTCAACTCACCCCTCTCCTCAGTCCAAGGGTCTGGAGTGGCACACGGTGTTCATTGTGGGCGCCAGTGAGGGGGAGACGCCTACCTCACATTTGTCCCAATTACCTCAATATCCCCTTTCGCGTTTCCCCATTAACCCCCTCCTCCTGCTTAACCTAACCCCCTCCTCCTGCTTAACCTAACCCCCTCCCCAGTCCAAGGGCCTGGAGTGGCACACGGTGTTCATTGTGAGCGTCAACGAGGGGGAGACGCCGCTGCAAAACAGATTCGAGGAGGAGAGGGGTGGGAGTGTGGAGAGGGGGAGTGTGGGGAGGGCGAACGGGGAGGGGTCAGAGGAAGAACCGCTTTCACTGGAGGTGAGTGAGTCGGTTTAGGGTGTTCTTGAGAATTCTTAGACATACCCTCTCACTGGAGGTGAGTGAGTCGGTTTAGGGTGTTCTTGAGAATTCTTAGACACACCCTCTCACTGGAGGTGAGTGAGTCGGTTTAGGGTGTTCTTGAGAATTCTTAGACACACCCTCTCACTGGAGGTGAGTGAGTCGGTTTAGGGTGTTCTTGAGAATTCATAGACACACCCTCTCACTGGAGGTGAGTGAGTCGGTTTAGGGTGTTCTTGAGAATTCTTAGACACACCCTCTCACTGGAGGTGAGTGAGTCGGTTTAGGGTGTTCTTGAGAATTCTTAGACACACCCTCTCACTGGAGGTGAGTGAGTCGGTTTAGGGTGTTCTTGAGAATTCTTAGACACACCCTCTCACTGGAGGTGAGTGAGTCGGTTTAGGGTGTTCTTGAGAATTCTTAGACACACCCTCTCACTGGAGGTGAGTGAGTCGGTTTAGGGTGTTCTTGAGAATTCTTAGACACACCCTCTCACTGGAGGTGAGTGAGTCGGTTTAGGGTGTTCTTGAGAATTCTTAGACACACCCTCTCACTGGAGGTGAGTGAGTCGGTTTAGGGTGTTCTTGAGAATTCTTAGACACACCCTCTCACTGGAGGTGAGTGAGTCGGTTTAGGGTGTTCTTGAGAATTCTTAGACACACCCTCTCACTGGAGGTGAGTGAGTCGGTTTAGGGTGTTCTTGAGAATTCTTAGACACACCCTCTCACTGGAGGTGAGTGAGTCGGTTTAGGGTGTTCTTGAGAATTCTTAGACACACCCTCTCACTGGAGGTGAGTGAGTCGGTTTAGGGTGTTCTTGAGAATTCTTGGACACACCCTCTCACTGGAGGTGAGTGAGTCGGTTTAGGGTGTTCTTGAGAATTCTTAGACACACCCTCTCACTGGAGGTGAGTGAGTCGGTTTAGGGTGTTCTTGAGAATTCTTAGACACACCCTCTCACTGGAGGTGAGTGAGTCGGTTTAGGGTGTTCTTGAGAATTCTTAGACACACCCTCTCACTGGAGGTGAGTGAGTCGGTTTAGGGTGTTCTTGAGAATTCTTGGACACACCCTCTCACTGGAGGTGAGTGAGTCGGTTTAGGGTGTTCTTGAGAATTCTTAGACACACCCTCTCACTGGAGGTGAGTGAGTCGGTTTAGGGTGTTCTTGAGAATTCTTAGACACACCCTCTCACTGGAGGTGAGTGAGTCGGTTTAGGGTGTTCTTGAGAATTCTTAGACACACCCTCTCACTGGAGGTGAGTGAGTCGGTTTAGGGTGTTCTTGAGAATTCTTGGACACACCCTCTCACTGGAGGTGAGTGAGTCGGTTTAGGGTGTTCTTGAGAATTCTTAGACACACCCTCTCACTGGAGGTGAGTGAGTCGGTTTAGGGTGTTCTTGAGAATTCTTAGACACACCCTCTCACTGGAGGTGAGTGAGTCGGTTTAGGGTGTTCTTGAGAATTCTTAGACACACCCTCTCACTGGAGGTGAGTGAGTCGGTTTAGGGTGTTCTTGAGAATTCTTAGACACACCCTCTCACTGGAGGTGAGTGAGTCGGTTTAGGGTGTTCTTGAGAATTCTTAGACACACCCTCTCACTGGAGGTGAGTGAGTTGGTTCAACACTGGAGGTTCAGATCATAATCGTTTTTTAGTAAACTCGAAAATCGGGGAGGGTGGGCGGGGAGGGATCAGACGAAGAACCTCCTTCACTGGAGGTGAGAGGGCGTCACAGTGAATGTACGTGTGACGCTGGCCGAGGGAACAATTTGCCATAGTAACGAGGTGACTTTTGAGTCGACTCAAAAGTCACCTGGAGGTGAGAGGGCTTCACTGTGAATGTACTTGTGACACTGGGCGAGGGAACAATCTATTAGGCGCCTCAGAAATGGTTAGCCACACAGGCCAAGGGTTACTGGGCATGGAGAAAGGCAGCAGTATGAGAAATCGCTTTCTTTTCTGAGTTACGATTTTTATTTCTTAGTGACTGTTGTTCTTTGCAAACACGACTGCACATGCTGCTGCTCTCCTTCATTACTCTGAGACTGCGTTCTCTCGTGTATGTCATTTATGTCTTCGTGTTTCTCACTCCTTTACTTTGCCAACAGGAGGAGAGACGGCTGTTCTATGTGGCCATGACACGTGCTCGCCACCGATTGGTTATCGTGACGCTCAGGCAGACACCTGAGAAGCAGGTGAGGCACCTGAAGAAGCACCTGAAGGGCAGGGTGAGGAAGAACCTGAACAGCAGCACAATATCACCTGCTCATCTACTCTTGGAACAGGAGGACTGTTCTAGGTGGCCATGACACCTGCCCGCCACCGATTGGTCATTGTGACCCTCAGACAAACACCTGAAAAGCAGGTGAGGCGGCTGAAAAAGCACCTGAGAAGCAGATGAGGCACCTGAGAGGAGCAGATGAGGATTTTGAGATAGATTGAAGCTTAGATGCTATCCATATCTTTCACCATCCTTTCTCCTCTCCTCTTGTCCTATCTCTTTCCCCCCTCTGTACACAACCATACCAGGTTCTCCAGCCGTCTCAGTTCATCTGAGAAATCCCCTCGGATCTGCTCCTCTGGCAAGGTCACGCACCATCACAGCCCACCCCAGTGCATCAGCACTTCTCCCCCCTGTCCTTCCTATGTATGTACACCCAACCCCACCAGATTCTCCAGCCATCTCGGTCCATCCGGGAGATCCCCTCGGATCTGCTGCTGGGGCAAGGCCACGCACCCATAACCCCTCTCCTTCCCATGTATGTACACCCCAACCCACCAGGTTCTCCAGCCCTCTCGGTTCATCCAAGAAATCCCCTCAAATCTGCTCCTCTGGCAAGGCAATGCACCCATCACAGCCCCGGTCGCCTCCCCTGCCTCTGCCCGGCCTCGCACCCCTGCTGCGTCATACCCTGATGAAGGGAATGAGCAGCGAGGGGCAGGGGTCGCAACTCGAAATCTTGGTCTTGGGGTAGTAATTGGTGTAGGGGAAGGGGAGGGGGTGCAGGAAGAGGAGGAAGGGGATGTGGAATGGGGAAAGGGGGAAGGAGGTGAGGAGGAAGAAGAGATGAGGGGCGTGGGTGGGGAGGAGGAGGCAGTGAGTGAGGGAGTGCTGCCAACTGGCGATTTCCTCAAGAGGTAAAAATCCTCTACCCCACTCACTCACTCACTGAGCATGCGCATTCTGTGCAGGAGAGTGGTGTTGCGTGTGTGTGCATGTGCCTATGCTGGTATCCCCCTTCCCTTGTTCAGTTTCTCCTGAGCTCAATACCCACCCATGCAGTTATCTACTCTACTCCTCACTTCACTCAGACCACCCCCCACTCCCAAATTCCCCACGAAGCGCCCTGTGAGTATAGCAGCAGTCTTCCACTCCTGGCCCCGCCGCAGCGCCGCCCTGCCTCTTATCCCCTCTGTTTCTCTCTCCTTTCTACCGCAACCTCTCACACCATCAACCATCGTCCCCACGGATCACCGTGCCAGCATAGCAATCTTCCCCTCCTGGGCCCGCCGCGCTGCCTCTCAACGCCACCTCTCTCTCTGTTTCCCTCATCTCTTCTACCTCTTCCTCTCATTTTACTCATCCCACCCCCTCCCCTCCCTCCTCCTCCCAGCTTCCCCACGGATCACCGTGCGATCATAGCAGCAATCTTCCACTCCTGGGCCCGCCGCCCTGCTTTTCAACAGCCGTCGCGTCTTCTAGCTAAGGTGATATTTGGGGCAGGGTGATCATTGGGCACGGTGGTCATTGGGCAAGGAGATCAATGCCATCTGGTGAGGGAAAAGGAATATAGCAGGCAGCGCAATGGGGCTTCGAGGCACCTCACAACACTCTTCCTTTGACCTAGCCTCTCACTACCTCCCTTGCATACCCCAACCCCAACGTCCCTCCTGACTGTGAACAGGTGAGGGCAGTGGTGGATAGCAGGCAGCGCAATGGGGCTTCGAGGCACCTCATAACCCTCGTCCTATTACTAGCCTCTCACTACCTCCCTCCTTTTCTGCCCACATCTTTCCCCAACCCCACCGTGCCTCCTGACTGTCAACAAGTGAGGGCAGTGGTGGATAGCGGGCAGAGCAGTGTGGCTTCGAGGCACCTCATAACACTCTTCCTCTTACCTACCCTCTCCCTCCCTCTTTCTCTCTTCCTTATCACATCCCCCACGTGCTCCTGACTGTGAACAGTTGAGGGAAGTTGTGGATAGCAGGCAGAGCAGTGTGGCTTTGAGGCACCTCACAACACTCTTCCTTTGACCCAGCCCCTCCCTTGCTTCCTCCCTCCCCCCTCATTCTCTTTCCTCCCACAACTCCCCCCTTTCAACGTCCCTCCTGACTGTGAACAGGTGAGAGCAGTGGTGGATAGCAGGCAGAGCAGCGGAACAGCAAGATCAGCTGGTGGCAAGGAGGCCTTAAGACTGCTGCGACCACTACTGTCCTCCACACAAGCTGCTTCCTTTGCAGCACATGTAAGAGTTTTCAAAGACTCTCCCTTTGATCCAACGGTCACTTGATAAAGGCTATTTTTTCTCCTCATTGGGTTAATGGCCAGCCTTCCGGCAGCAATATTTCGCCATATTCTCGCATTGATGCTCACAACCTTTACCATGCCGTTCCATAAGGCATTGACTCTCTTTCTTTCTTTCTTTCTTTCTTTCTTTCTTTCTTTCTTTCTTTCTTTCTTTCTTTCTTTCTTTCTTTCTTTCTTTCTTTCTTTCTTTCTTTTTAATGTTCGCAGCTGCTGAACCATCACACTCTTTTTTTGTGTTGCTGAACATTCCTGAACCTTCCAGGTTATAGCATGGGAGCAGCTTCCGTTTGAGCAGAGAGCATTACACCGGGTGGAGCGACAGGTGGGTGGGTGGAAACATACAGCCGTTTGTTGTGCATTTTGATCACTCAAATGTGGTTGTTATTAATTTTCATGCTCGGGAGATAAATTGCTGTTTACCGCTATTTCTGTTGCTTCTGCAGGAAATGTTCCAGCAGCAGTACTCGGAAAAGGCTATGAATAAATCAGCAGCAACTCCAAAGCAGGTACGTAGGGTTTGTTTTCATTTTGCTTTTTTACATTAATGCATCCGTAAGTTGTACACGTGTGCTTACTGATATATTGTGCCCCAAACCGTTGACACATGCAGTTGTCGTACCTGAAGCAGCTTGGATGTACTGTTGAACCCTCTTCCAGACTCCATGCCTCAAAATTGATAGAGCAGTACAAGAACTTGTGAACTTGAACACAACAGTGGAGAAAACACGTTTACGTTAAACGAATCTTAGCTCCCGTTGTTTGTAGCACCTGTTTACGTCGCGTATGGCTGCGATCTTGCAGATTTCTCTCAGAAGTACCTCTCTGTTAGAAAGCCTTGACATCTCGCACGAGCCACTTTGTCGAAGAGATCTGGTTACCTCGTTTGTGGGACGCGAGTGGCTGAGGAGCCGACTGCCACGTTTGCAGGTCGGTTGTGGCTGGATCACTCACTTGCCTTGCCACGTAGATATGGTTCAATCTCCCGTGGATTACTTACGGTGTACGCGGGGACAGCATAGTCCACCGAGCCTGCGAACATGCGTCATCCACCACCACAGATGAACCCCCATCTGGGAACGATATGTTGTACGGCTACGATCATCCCAAAGCTTCGGGCAGAGTGCCACCGTGGCGTATCAGGTAACAACCAAACCAAACCCCTCAATCCCCAAACCAGCGCCTACGAACAGTTCAAGCCAGGCGCACACCGCATCCGAAACCCAAGCCTGCTGTGTGGTCGTGTTTCCAGCCCAGCTGTCGAGCTGAACCTGCCGAGCCTGCTCGACATTCAATCCGAACCAGAGCCAAATCTTGAGCCCCTCTCTCACATTCGCTGGAACCAACCCCGACATCATCAGGGACCAAGCAGGACCAACCATACAGCTAGCCCATTTGCCTGGCTGAACTGATTCACTTCTGAGACTCTTCAAGGAGCCTCATCAAATACCCCATTTTCAGGTCAATCCGAGACTGATTGACCATTACCATTGTTGCCATTCTCGAGGTTACTTGCATTCAAGTGCCTCTTTGACCACAATGGCCGCCATGACCTCCATGTCGATCGCAACCCCCGCCGTCGGGCTGTCGGCTCAGGGAGCCGTTAGCAAGAAGGCCAACCAGGTCAGCTTCCTCAACGGCAGCTCCCTCGTTTCCTCCCTCGAGAGCAAGGCCGCTGTCCGCGTGTCTCAGCCCACTAAGGCCGCCGTGCGCGCCAGCGTTGCTGCTGCTCCCAAGAAGAAGGAGCACCGCAAGAACGAGGAGGGTGTTCAGGTTAACCTGTTCAAGCCCAAGACCCCTTACACTGGCCGGTGCCTTCTCAACACCAAGATTGTCGGCGATGACGCTCCCGGCGAGACCTGGCACATGGTGTTCAGCACTGAGGGTACGTCTGCGTTAGAGCGTCCCCGGTAGTTGCACCAGCCATGAGCCGTAAATGCCACAATGCTTCGTCAAAATTTATAGCCTCGCATCCCACCAAAGCTGCACAATCAGCTGCTCGAATGTTTCAGTTTTCCATGTTCGTCTTCTCTGATTCGGATGTTGTGCAGGCAAGATCCCCTACAGAGAAGGTCAATCCATCGGCGTTGTTCCCCCCGGTCTTGACAAGAGGGGCAACCCCGAGAAGCTCCGCCTTTACTCCATTGCCAGCAGTGCCCCCGGTGACTTCGGTGACTACAAGACGGTGCGTCATTGGAGTTATGTCTATGTATCATGTTATGAAAAGTGCCTCGCAGTTGTGTATAGCGACGGAAGTGGATCGTATCTCAACTTCCCTGCGAGTGCATTTTTCCCTACAATTGTTTTCAGGTGTCCCTGTGCGTGAAGCGCCTCGTGTACGTCAACGACAAGGGCGAGACTGTCAAGGGTGTCTGCTCAAACTTCCTGTGTACGTTACATACCGTTCCACGTATTGTAACATTTTCGACTTCCCAGTTCATCGGTCTTTATCCAGCGTCTGATACGTAAAATGGTCTAGACCTGTAGCAAGGCGTGAAGTGGGCTACTGAGATGTTGATGTCTCTGAATCACTTCAATGGCAGGCGACCTGAAGCCCGGGGATGAGGTTAAGATGACTGGCCCAGTCGGCAAGGAGATGCTCATGCCCATCGACCAGAACGCCACCATCATTATGGTACGTCTTTTCGTTTTTTTACGATCCTCCTGGTAACTGTTGTAGCCTATCTGTGTATGGAAAAAAAATCCATTACCCGTCATTTGCTGATTCCCTGGCATTCTTTTGTTCCGTATTTGCTGTTCGTGTTTGCTCCTCTGCCATGCAGCTTGGAACTGGTACTGGCATTGCTCCCTTCCGCAGCTTCTTGTGGCGCATGTTCTTTGAGAAGCACGACGACTACAAGGTAATGTTTAATACCATGTGAACCACTAGCATGCGTTTCCGCGAATATACTCCAGAACTGAAAAACATTGCTGTATCTTTTGATAAGGCCGTACGTAGGGTTCAGATGGAACTGGTCCGGCCGTGAATCTGACGCGACGACTTTGTTGATGTGCAGTTCAACGGTCTCGCGTGGCTGTTCCTTGGTGTGCCGACCAGCAGCTCTCTTCTCTACCGCGAGGAGTTTGAGAAGATGAAGGAGAAGTTCCCCAAGAACTTCCGCCTGGACTTCGCTGTCAGCCGCGAGCAGACCAACGCCAAGGGCGAGAAGATGTACATTCAGACGCGCATGGCTGAGTACGCCAACGAGTTGTGGAGCCTGTTCAAGAAGGATAACACCTACACCTACATGTGCGGACTCAAGGGCATGGAGAAGGGTATTGATGATATCATGACCTCCCTGGCAGAGAAGGATGGTAAGTGGCCTCTCCGGACAGATTTTTTGTCCGCTTTAAGTGGCAGAGTACACTTTCCCTGTGTCCATATGCTGACTCTATTTCTACCTGTGCAGGCATCAACTGGCTAGAGTACAAGAAGCAATTGAAGAAGAGCGAGCAGTGGAACGTGGAAACCTACTAGACACAATTCTGTTTCCATTTTGCTTTGTTATGTAAACCTAAATTGACAGTAATGTCATGATGCTACATTCCACTGTAAGCCTTCTGTAAAGTGAGCCTGCAGCACACAAACTGCTGCCACCCCTTGTCAACAGGGACTGCACAGGCTTACAGCTGTAGCAAAATATTCATGTATGGGAGAGTGGGTGCAGTGGCTGAGGGGCAGAAAGGATACGGGTTCATACAGAAAGTGGTAGGACTGGGGGGAAAGTTGGACTGGGAGGGAGTGGCGTCAGGGATTGGCCTTTAGGTCTGTGGTAATTGCAGTGCAGCACACCCAGCCCAGTTTATTCAAAACCAAGAGATTCAGAGATAGGAACCATGATTCTAAGGTCACTATTTTGCTTCACTCTTTGTAGTCAGGTGCACGTGCACCACCTTGTAACCCTGGAGGTTTTCCTGTGGCTATTGTTTAGAATCTGGCTATGTTCCAAAGAGATGTACTGAGTCTAAGCAAGAGGTTAGTGGCAATGGATTGGCTTCTGTATGCTTCAGATGTATGTGATTACCAGTATACCCTCATATCAGCCCTATAACGAGGTAATAAGCTCGAGACGTGTGTCTGTAGAAAAGTCGCCCCCTCAACCAGTACACTTCTGTACACCAACCATCGCGACACGGGTGAGAAGAGAACAATCGCGAATTCACCCTCCCCCTCCGGGATTTCAGCCAAGCTTTCACAGCAAGCGTGGATTTTCCCTTTTCCTCAACAGATTCCTTTTTCCTGGGATTGTCCCTCCCTTCCAAGCGAACATTCACTCACGTGATCATGTATTTGATTAGCTTGACAGGATTCCTTCAAGGTAGTATCATGCAGTGACGTGTGCGCATATTTACTTGCACGCGGGAATCGCTCGTGTATACTTCCAAAGGTTACCCCAGAACGACGCTGCAACGATTCACTTTAAAAGCTGTGTTCGAGCCAAGCCGATCGGCTTTTCATTCAGCTTCGCCACAGCGATCCGCCATGGCTCGTATCGAGGCATCATGGCAGGAGGTGAGGACACCGCCATCCATCGCAGTTGACATTGCATTGCCGACGCTATGCAGCCTGATAGACATTGCATTGCACTGCGGGGAAAACAACCTTTTTTTTTCCGCGCTTTTGCACCAACTAGTGGTAGACTCGAGCTGTAAGCACTGGTACCCAGTCCCTCCAGACATTTTCCTGGTATCAGATTGTTATTTCGCGCGATGATTTAAGAGAATTCGCGTCGCTATCGCCTTGTTTTTTTCTCTCGCAGCTCTCTCGCATCCCTCGCCCGCTCGTCCCTCGCCATTTTCGCTTTCTCCTCATTCCCCCAATATCATTTCAACAATCCACGGATCACACAGTGCGAGGGAGAGACAAAGGCGCGCAGCTCGCACGCCATAGCGGTGGTTTGCGTCAAGATGTTTGTGTTCGGGGGGGGGGGGTTTGACCTCCCCTCTCTCTTCTTCCCCCAACACCATATACGCGCAGCTCGCACGCCATAGCGGTGGTGGGCGAGAAGATGTTTGTGTTTCTGGGAAAGTTTGACCTCCCCTCTCTCCCCGTTTCCCCCCCCCGCCGGCCCCCAACGCCCCACTGCACAGATCACGCAGCGCGAGGGAGAGCCTAAAGCGCGCAGCTCACACGCTATAGCAGTCGCCGGCGACAAGATGTTTGTGTTCGGTGGGGAGTTTGAGCCGAGAGTCCCCATTGGCAACGCCGTGCATGTGATGGATCTCAGCACCCGGGAGTGGTCCATCGCTCCCGCTTCTGGCGACATCCCATGTACGTACGGTGCTGCATCCGTGTGTCTGTCTGTCTGTCTGTCTGTCTGTCTGTCTGTCTGTCTGTCTGTCTGTAGCTCTGGCATCTCTCGGGGGGTTTGATTTGAGCCGCGAGTGCCCATCGGCAACGATGTGCATGTGATGGACCTCACCACTCGGGAATGGACCATTGCTCCCGCTTCTGGTGACATCCCATGTGCGTCTGTCTGTCTAGTGCTGCTGGCATGACATACCGGTATGTTTGGGAGTTTGAGCCGAAAGTGCCCATCGGCAACGACGTGCATGTGATGGACCTCACCACTCGGGAATGGACCGTCGCTGCTGCCTCTGGTTAGCGTACTGTGCGGTGATGCGTCCCTGTGTCTGTATAGTGTCTGTCTGAATGCTTCCATCTGCACGAGTTAAGAGACTCCTTACTTCCCCTCCACCCACCCCATGCCGCCCACCCCCCACCCCTTCAACCAGCATCTCGCGTCAGCATCATGATGGTGGCTCTGGGGTCGACCCTGTACGTGTTTGGAGGGAGAGACGGTGACAAGAACGAGCTGAGACTCCTTTCTTCTCATCCCATCTAAATACCCCCCTGCCTCTGATGATCTCTACCCCCCCACCAGCCCCCCGCATCGGCATCACGATGGTGGCTCTGGGGAGCACCCTGTACGTGTTTGGCGGGAGAGACGGTGACAAGAACGAGCTGAGTGACTTTTATTCCTTCGATACAGTCACGGGGCAGTGGCGGCTGCTGACCACTGGCGACAAGTCCCCTCCTGGCAGGTGAGTGTTGGGAGGGGATGCGGGCTGGGAGGGTGTGGGAAGAAGAGAGGTGGTCGAGGGATAGGTTGGGGTGATAAGAACGAGCTGAACGACTTTCACTTTTTCGATACAGTCACGGGGGAGTGCAGGCTGCTGACCACTGGGGAGAAGTCCTCCCCTGGCAGGTGAGTGCTGGGAGGGGGGTAGGTTGCGGGGAGAGAGTAGGTAGTGTGGGGAGGGATCATGAGAAGGAGCCTAATGACTTGAATTGTCCTCATAAGTTCACAGGGGAGTGGCGGCTGCTGACCACTGGGGAGAATTCCCCCCCTGGCAGGTGTTTGCTGGGGGAGGGGGTTTGCGGGGGGAGAGGGTTTGCGGGGTTACCATTACTTTCCCCCGTTACCATTACTTTCCCCCGTTACCATTACTTTCCCCCGTTACCATTACTTTCCCCGATACCATTACTTTCCCCCGTTACCATTACTTTCCCCCGTTACCATTACTTTCCCCCGTTACCATTACTTTCCCCCGTTACCATTACTTTCCCCCGTTACCATTACTTTCCCCCGTTACCGTTACTTTCCCCCGTTACCATTACTTCCCCCCGCTACCATTACTTTCCCCCGTTACCATTACTTTCCCCCATTACCATTACTTTCCCCCGTTACCATAACTTTCCCCCATTACCATTACTTTCCCCCGTTACCATTACTTTCCCCTGTTACCATTACTTTCCCCCGTTACCATTACTTTCCCCCTTTACCATTGCTTTCCCCCATTACCATTACTTTCCCCCGTTACCATTACTTTCCCCCGTTACCATTACTTTCCCCCATTACCATTACTTTCCCCCATTACCATTACTTTCCCCCATTACCATTACTTTCCCCCATTACCATTACTTTCCCCCATTACCATTACTTTCCCCCATTACCATTACTTTCCCCCATTACCATTACTTTCCCCCATTACCATTACTTTCCCCCGTTACCATTACTTTCCCCCGTTACCATTACTTTCCCCGATACCATTACTTTCCCCCGTTACCATTACTTTCCCCCGTTACCATTACTTTCCCCCTTTACCATTACTTTCCCCCATTACCATTACTTTCCCCCGTTACCATTACTTTCCCCCGTTACCATTACTTTCCCCCATTACCATTACTTTCCCCCATTACCATTACTTTCCCCCATTACCATTACTTTCCCCCATTACCATTACTTTCCCCCATTACCATTACTTTCCCCCATTACCATTACTTTCCCCCATTACCATTACTTTCCCCTGTTACCATTACTTTCCCCTGTTACCATTACTTTCCCCCGTTACCATTACTTTCCCCCGTTACCATTACTTTCCCCTGTTACCATTACTTACCCCCGTTACCATTACTTTCCCCCATTACCATTACTTTCCCCCATTACCATTACTTTCCCCCATTACCATTACTTTCCCCATTACCATTACTTTCCCCCGTTACCATTACTTTCCCCCATTACCATTACTTTCCCCCATTACCATTACTTTCCCCCATTACCATTTCTTTCCCCCATTACCATTACTTTCCCCCGTTACCATTACTTTCCCCCGTTACCATTACTTTCCCCCGTTACCATTACTTTCCCCTGTTACCATTACTTTCCCCCGTTACCATTACTTTCCCCTGTTACCATTACTTTCCCCCTTTACCATTACTTTCCCCCATTACCATTACTTTCCCCCGTTACCATTACTTTCCCCCGTTACCATTACTTTCCCCCGTTACCATTACTTTCCCCCGTTACCATTACTTTCCCCCGTTACCATTACTTTCCCCCATTACCATTACTTTCCCATCTTACCTTTACTTTCCCCCGTTACCATTACTTTCCCCCATTACCATTACTTTCCCCCATTACCATTACTTTCCCCCGTTACCATTACTTTCCCCCGTTACCATTACTTTCCCCCGTTACCATTACTTTCCCCCGTTACCATTACTTTCCCCCATTACCTTTACTTTCCCATCTTACCTTTACTTTCCCCCGTTACCATTACTTTCCCCCATTACCATTACTTTCCCCCATTACCATTACTTTCCCCCATTACCATTACTTTCCCCCGTTACCATTACTTTCCCCCATTACCATTACTTTCCCCCATTACCATTACTTTCCCCCGTTACCATTACTTTCCCCCGTTACCATTACTTTCCCCCGTTACCATTACTTTCCCCCGTTACCATTACTTTCCCCCGTTACCATTACTTTCCCCCGTTACCATTACTTTCCCCCGTTACCATTACTTTCCCCCGTTACCATTACTTTCCCCCGTTACCATTACTTTCCCCCATTACCATTACTTTCCCCCATTACCATTACTTTCCCCCATTACCATCACTTTCCCCCATTACATTTTTCTTTCCCCCAAGGTGTGGTAGCTCCTGCGGGGCTCCTTCCCACCCCATTACTTTCCCCCAGGAGGTGGTTTTTTAGGCGCCTCAAAACCTCCTCAATCCTGCGGGGCTCCCTCCTACCCACCCCATTACTTTCCCCCAGGAGCTACCACACCATGGCAGCAGACCCCCATCGCTGCCAAATCTACATCTTTGGTGGCTGCGACCCTCACACCCATACTCTCAAACACCACTCCCCACTCCCTCACGACCATCCCTCTCTCCCTAGGAGCTACCACACCATGGGGGAAAGTAATGGGGTGGGAGGGAGCCCCGCAGACATCTGCTTTGGTTACCCCCCTCCCACTCCATTACCTTTAAGAGCTTCCACACCATGGCAGCGAACCCCCAGCGCGCCCAAATCTACATCTTTAGTGGCTGTGGCACCACTTTCACCCTCACACCCATACTCTCAAACACCACTCCCCACTCCCTCACAACCATCCCTTTCCTCCCCAGGAGCTACCACACCATGGCAGCTGCTGATCCCCAGATCCACATCTTCGGTGTCTGTGGCACCACTCCCACCTTCTCACACACCCTCTCATCATCCACCGCCTCCCCCCTCCAGGAGCTACCACACCATGGCAGCTGACACTCATCGCTGCCAGATCTACATCTTCGGCGGCTGTGGTACCTCCATTCACTCCTTTACACCCATCCTCACAAGCACCACTCCCCGCTCCCTCCCACCCATCTGTTCCCCCCCAGGAGCTACCACACCATGGCAGCGGATCCCCATCGCGCCCAAATCTACATCTTCGGCGGCTGTGGCACCACCGGTCGTTTCAACGACCTTTGGGCCTACCCTGTCGCTCCCAGCCACACCAACACATGGCGGCAGCTGCCCTCCCCTCCCCCTTCCAGTGGCTGTGTGCCCCGGGGGGGGCCTGGGCTGGCTGTTGCAGGGGACGCAGTGTGGGTGCTGTTTGGGTTTTCCGGGGAGCACGAGCTTGGGGACGTGCATAGGTTTGATCTAGGGAAGGAGACGTGGGAGGAGGTGGGATTTCCTGCTGCTGCTGGTGCGGAGACGGCTGGTAGCGGGGAGGCTACTAAAGGGGATGAAGTTGAAGGGTCGGCGGTTAAGCCCATTCCAAGGAGTGTTTTCGGCGCTGTGACCGTCTCGCTCCCTGCTGTTAACGAGTCTGCTTGTAAAGAGTACATAGTGGTGTATGGGGGAGAGGTAGACCCATCAGATCTGGGTCACTTGGGGGCGGGAAAATTCTCTAAAGATCTCTTCCTATTGGACGTCGAGGAAAGGAAGTGGCTCCGACCGGCGTCGCTCGTCTCTTCTGGCGGGGACCCGGGCGCTCGTGGCTGGTTCCCTGTTGCTCCTTTGGCTGCTGGCATGGTGGTGTATGGAGGCAATTCGGAGAGCAACGACCGCTTGGATGACGTGTTTGTGCTCCGGCTGACCGTGGCTTGAAAGACTCGCTGTTATTCGTGGGGGGGAGGGCGGGTTGGTTGCTGAGGTGCTGCTGGTGCTGATAGGGGATATGCTGGCTTGGTGGTGTATGGGGTAAACTCAGAGAGCAATGACCACTTGGATGACGTGTTTGTGCTCCGGCTGACCATTTCTTGAGAGGGATTCTTTGTCCTTCTGGTGCCGCTGGTGCCGGTGCTGGTTCTGGTGCTGGTGGTGCTGGTGTTGCTAAGGGGGCTGCTGGCATGGTGGTGTAAGGGGGCAACTCAGAGAGCAACGACCGCTTGGATGATGTGTTCGTGCTCAGGCTGACTGTTGCTTGAGGGAAAATATGTCCTGCTGGTGCCGTTGGTGCCATTGGTTCCACTGGTGACCGTGATGGTGCTGCCAATGGAAACTTCTGGCATGGTGGTGTATGGGGGCAACTAAGAGGGCAACGACCGCTTGGATGACGTGTTTGTGCTCCGGCTGACCGTTACTTGAGAGGGATTCTGTGTCCTGCTGGTGCCGGTGCTGGTTCTGGTGCTGCTGGTGCTGGTGCTGGTGCTGGTGCTGCTGGTTTTGCTAAGGGGGCTGCTGGCATGGTGGTGTATGGGGACGACTCAGAGAGCAACGACCGCTTGGATGACATGTTTGTGCTCCACCCCACCATGATCTGAGGTACCCACTACTGCTGATCATGGTCATGATGACCATTTCCTCTCTGATACTGCTGCTCTGCTCGTCTGTACTGGTCATCTGAATGTCCAACTCAACATCTGTAGTGTAGTCTAGGCTGGAAATTTATTAGCTCAGCCCACCCCAACGTATGAAGTGAACGACTTTGAGTTATCGTGACTCAAACTTGTTTTATGCATACAGTGGAAACCGCATGCGTTATAATTAATATTTCACAATACACATACTTCTGTCGAATCACATGCAGCAGGTAGTGCATGAGGGCCCACACATGCGCCTCCCCCACATCACCCTTCGCAACCTGAGGTTGCCCCTTCCCTGGTCCAGCACGCGCAAGAGTGTGAGTAGTGATGGTCATGGGAGCCCCCTGCGGAGTTCCCAAAACTACAGAGTATGGACGACTTTTGATGCGCCTCAAAAGTGAACTACAGACGGAGCATGGAACAGCTAAGGGATTAGTTGGTTGGTTTGCCAGCGGCAGTGGTGATCGCTGGTTTGCTTGATTCCTCGCTCGACTCATCGCATCACATGCAGCAGGTAGTGCATCAGGGATCTTACATGCGCCTCCCCTACATCCCCCTTCACCACCAAAGGTTCCCCCTTCCCCGGGCCTGCATGCACAAGAGCAGAGTAGTGGTGATCGAAGGGGCGACCTGTGTCCGTGTAACGAGGGCCGTCCACCATCCATAGATCCAAGATCGACGGCCGAGATGCTGCTACAGCACGCTTTGCTGATGGTGCTGCTGCTGCTGCTGCTGCTGCTGCTGGTGATGACAATGATGCTGGTAACTCTGATGCTGTTGCTGATGCTGGTAACCCTCCTCCTTCCCCTCCAGGCTCCTCCCCTAGCTCCTCTGGTAGTCGCTGTAAGGAGCAGTCTAGGTCTGCTTTACATGCCTCAGCTTCCTGCCCTTCTCTCTCCCCTTGTTGCTCATTTCCGTCCATACCCCTTACAAGGTGCTTCATTAAAGCGTTAATCGCCATGCCGGCTCGGTTCGAACTCGGCCCGGGATGCCAACTGTTACACCAATCCCCCTTAAGGGGAAAAGACGGGATAGTGCGGAAAACCACCCTGCCTTTTCCGGGAGTAGCTGTGGAAACAGCCCACCGGAGGAATTTTTGCAGGTGGGTGCGCAGGGCTTTAAGAGGTTCTCGGCAAAAGACGGCCGCCCAATAACCAGCTTCGAAGAGTGTGACATCAGCGGTGGGTGAAATGGTCGGGAACGGTCCTGTGCGGTTGAGAGCGCGTGGGTGGCTGGTGGAAAGGGGGGAGTAGAGGGGAGGAAGGGAAGGGAAGAGGAGGGAGTTCAAGGTGGTTGAGAAGAGGAATCAAAGCTCGACCTTTTCCTAACTTTCTTTTCACTCTCTTTACAGGAAGAGGAGAGAGTGTATGAAGCTCCTAAGGATCAAAGCTTAGCTTTTAAGAGGCGTCAAAATGATAAAATCTCGATAGAACAAAGACGGGTTTTTTTCTCTCACAAGCAGCCATGCTCTCGCTTTGTCCATCCCATCCCATCCTCTCATCTTTCATCCACACTAACCTTCAATAAACCACACTAGTCCATGGAAACTCATCCATCCATCACCAGTCATGCAGTCGTGCAAATGAAAGAAATCGAGCAATGCACTCTCTCACCTGCGGCCATACTCCCAGTCCTCGTAGACTCCAGCAATCCAGCGACTAGTTTCCAAGCCTTGTGGTTAGGGAATCCCAAGGCTGTCTCTCACCTGCGGCCATACTCCCAGTCCTCGTAGATTCGTGGAACACCCACTGTTGAGTTCTATCAAAAAGAAATCCCAAGGCTCTCTCACCTGCAACCATACTCCCAGTCCTCGTAGACTCCAGCAATCCAGTAAAAGTTGATCTTCAGAGTTCTATTAATCTCATCTCTTGCGATGTACACCCGACTCTCGTTAACAGTACGCCCTTTCTCCATCTCAGTCATGTCTTGCCCCGTGAGCAGGAAAAACAGGTGGGCTGTCAGGAACCGTTGATGCGAATCGCCGACAATCGAGATCTCCCGGATGCCGCGGCGATCGAGGGCTGAGATCCACTGAGAGGGCGGGAGCTCCTTAGGCGAGCAGGGGAAGAATGACCAACTGAAAAGGGGAGATGGGTAACGGGGGAGGGGGGGAAGGAACGGAGGAGGGGGAGAGTGGGAAGGAGTTCTGATTCGACTCAAAATAGATGCACTGAGAGGGCGGGAGCTCCTTAGGCGAGCAGGGGAAGAACGACCATCTGGGGATGGGAAGGGGCGAAGAAGGGAGAGGGTGGTAGTGAGAAGTATGTTTTTTGAGAATTCTCAAAAAACATGGGTGGTAGTGAAAAGTAGGGATGGAAGGGGGGGTTCTGATCTGAAAGTGGGGGACTGAAAGGGAGGGAAGGGGACAAGGAAGCAGAAAAAGGCAGAAAAAAACAGAAAAAAACAGAAAAAAGCAGAATAAACTGAAACAATTTTCTTTTTAGGAAGAAATCATAACTAGTAATTTTGAGTCTCACCTGTAACCCTCTCCTCCCTCCTCCTTCACCCATCTTCCTGGCACCGACGCAGCAGCACAGGGGCTCTCAGGAAGCTTCCTCCCCACTTCCAAGGCCCGGGGCAAGCCGCCCTCTGCAGGTGGCGACTCCAACAGCGAGGTTCGGAGAGGCGAGCTGCCGAGCGTGGGGCCCAGGTTTGGAGCACCAGAGGCTTGGTGCGGAGGTTCGGCAGGTAGGCTCGGGCCGCCAGCTAGGTCAGGCTTGGCAGCTAGGCTCGGGGAGTTAGGTCGGAAGCGAGGGTGGATTGTTATTGGCCAGGAAGTGAGGGTGTTTTGCTGCGTGGAGTGCAGATGGTGCAAGGAAGCTGCTGAGAAGTTGAGATTGGCACAACCGACGTTCAGAGTTGCCCTGAGGAGAGACCAGTAGAGAGCAAAGCAAGAGAGAGGGAGGGAGTGAGGTTGAGTTCGGTTCAAAAGAAAGTAGGCGAGTTATGCCTTGCGGTGTGTGGAGTGGAGTGCACGTGGTGTAAGGAAGCTGCTGAGAGTTTGTGTCAGTGCACGTCCCCATGGGCGAGCGCTGGGCCACGGAGGAGCAGCAGAGAGAGGTCCCGCTGCCACCACGTGTGCTTGCTGCTGCTGCTGATTTCCTCCCATGCTTTCCATCACTCACCAATACTCCCCGATGTCCCACACGCGGTATGCAACTGATAGTTCCAAGCAGTGCGGGGGGTCGAGGCACCGCACGTCCCCGTGGGCGAGCGCTGGGCCGCGGAGGAGCAGAGAGAGATCCCGCTGCCACCACGTGTGCTTGCTGCCCTTGTCTGCTTGCTCCGGCGCTATCCAGTGCGCGGGCGCGCGGATGGAGACGAGGAAGGAGCAGCGCTGCCCGCGCAGGCAGGCAGAGCAGCCTGGGCCGTGAATCACCACACCTGATGGAGCCTCGTAGTCTGCTTGTGGAGGGGTTTGGGGGGAAACAGGAGGAGCAGAGAACTTTCCCTCTCCCATCACGTGTGCTTGCTGCTCTTCTCTGTTTGCTCTGGCGCGATCCAGTGCGCGGGTGGGCGGATGGAGACGAGGAAGGAGCAGCGCTGCCCCCTCAAGCACTCAGAGCAGCCACGACCGTGAATAATCACCGCTGATGGTGTCTCGTAGTCTGTGCTTAAGGGGGGGTTTGGAGGGAGGGATAAGGGAGAGGGAGGGAAGGCATCCAGTGGGCGGGTGGGCGGATTGATGGAGACGAGGAAGGAGCAGCGCTGCCCGCGCAGGCAGGCAGAGCAGTCACGACCGTGAATCACCACGCCTGATGGCGTCTCGTAGTCTGTGATTGGTGGAGGGGTGGAGGGGTAAGGGAGAGGGAGGGAAGAGAGTTACCACTCCTGGTAAAGCATGTTAGTCTTTGTGGGTGGGGGATAGGAGCGGAGGGGAGGGAGAAAGGGGTGGATGCGGGTGGTGTGGAAAAAGGGGGGATAGAGAGAGGGGGTGTTTATGATACTCTTTCACAAGCAGCCCGTGCAGCTTGGCTAAGTATCAAGATAGTTTAGGCTCACTACAGTGAGAAATGCCTAAGCATGCCATTGTCACTACAGCCAAAGCATGCCATTGTCACTACAGCCAAAGCATGCCATCGTCACTATAGCCAAAGCATGTCATCGTCACTACAGCCAAAGCATGCCATCGTCACTACAGCCAAAGCATGCCATCGTCACTACAGCCAAAGCATGTCATCGTCACTACAGCCAAAGCATGCCATCGTCACTACAGCCAAAGCATGCCATCGTCACTACAGCCAAAGCATGCCATCGTCACTACAGCCAAAGCATGCCACTGTCACTACAGCCAAAGCATGCCATCGTCACCACAGCCAAAGCATGCCATCCGCCAACAAGCACCCACCTCCAGATGACGTCCAGCACACGTGCTCCTCTGTTTTGCCACCTGAAAAACCACCTGAACTACCTGAAGCACCTGAATCTCCTGGCCTGCATGGCCATAGGGAGGAGAGGGGGAGCATAAAGGGCACAATGGGAAATTAAGGAAAATGCACGCATTAAGACGCAGGGATAACCTAGGTTTACCCTCACTTTACCCTGTTTTGAGTCGACTCAAAACACGACTCAATTTACCCTCAATTTCCTCTCAACGCGGTACTAACACCGCAACTTCGCGAGCCCGCCAGCCCCCCTTCCCCCGACCATCCCCTCCACACGCTTACCGCAAGCGCGCGCCGCTATCAATTCCCAAGAGCGGGAGCGCCTGCCGCAATCCCCGCATCCGCGCAAGTTTCCCCGGATCCTCCGCGGACGCGGCTTGGGGGAGTCCGCGCGCTTCGTCCCCTCCCCAGGGACGCGCACAATACGGTGAGACTTCGCTAATAACGAGGATGACGAGGCACGCGTTAATCGCAATGAGACTAAAACGAGTCAAGTCGGAGCTGAACCAATCAGGTGCGCCGCTGCCAGAAAATCGTTCGTTATAAGAATCGTTTCGTTTAAGACCAAGTATGGCCCATCCGTGCGACAAGAGCGACCCGAGGCTGGAGACGTGCGACGGTGGCGACGACCCGTACGACGAGAGAGTGTCGCGCGACGAGGACGATTTCATCTCTTCTAGTAGGCGATTCGAATCGAGTCGCAGGGGAACAGAATCTTTCACAATCCGATGCGGAATAAAGGGGGGAGGCTGATTGGTTGATTTTAATGGAATTACGGCGACTGAGAAACAAGCTACTTCGGCGAAGTTTCCTCGTCTGACACGACACGAGGTGGTGAGAGCTGGCGAAAGCTAGTACATTGCGCGGCTCACGCTCGCCCTCGGGTAATGTCACGTGGCTTCGGTGCGAGGGGTTAGATCGGTTACTAGCAGCACGCAGTGGGCTACGAGACGCGACTCGACGGGTCTGGTTCGGGTCTGGTTCGGATCTGGTTCTCTGCAGGGTGGTATGGTGAGGAGTGAGACGATCCACGGAACAAAACGAATTACCGTCCAAGCACTCGCAACAATAGTAGCACCGGCGGCGCTAAATGGCGGAGGCTGAGGCTGAACTTTGAAACATCAAGACGTTGTCGTTAGTTGCTTCAAGCTGCCTCGCCTCGCCACCACGCCACTGTTTGAGCATAAGGTACTAAAAATTAGTAGCAGTAGGAATACCGTATAGGCCCTGGTAATTCGGTAATCCGCAGAGGTGGAGGGAGTTGGGGTTGGATAGGAGGGTGTTTGTGGTGCGGGCGGGGAATGGGTGGGAGAGGTTTGGGCGCGACAACCGACATTCGTCTTCGAGAAACTAGCATAAACTTGAAAAAAGCACCTCAGACCACTCTGCACCGTACTAAAGGCAATGTTACGGCCCGACTAGCGAAATCGACGGCGACGGCTGTTCTTGGTGTGGGAGAATTGCATGTGTCGTTTTGCTCCTGGCGTCTCGCCTCACCAATCGCAAGTTCGCAACACGCTCTTAGGCGCCTCGCAACACGGCGGCGGCGCGTTCCTGCAGAATTACCGTCATAACGAGACACCTAGCCCGCGCCAATTTCCCACCCCGTCACTTTTGGGCTAAAACCCATTTGTACCTTTTTTTTGGCTGTGGGGATCAGACACCCAAGGAACTAGAGGCTATCCGTGGCATTGTAAAGTGTCGATGTTGTGAAAGTGTGACTTTGTGACCGCAACGCGTAGACTGGATCTTCCGCTGCGACCATGTTCCTATTTTCCCGCTGACTCTTAATCGGAGATATTGTAAGTCTCTTAAGGCCAGGCTGTTTGAAACAACCCTCAATTTACGGAAAAATCAGGAACGAATACACAGGGGTGTGAAATTGGAGGGTGTGAAAATACCGCGGACCATAAAAGCCAGCAAAGCGTTTGGTTGTTGTGATGGGAGCTCCCCGTCTCTACAGTGTTTCCTGCCTAGCATTAGCGGGGCGGGGAAATCCGGTCCGCATTCCGGAATCGGGGGAAACCGCAAGTGAAATCGATTGGTGGGTGTTGCAAATACACCTGGGCTCCACTAATTTCAAGGCCCGAAATTGGGCGCTCGCAGGTAGCTACCCCTATTATGTCTGGGAATAAGGGTTGTACAGAGTGAAACATAGTTTGAAGTGGGTAAGGTTACGGACTCCTTGTGAGGGCGATGACGCAACGAAGGTCGCAACTAGAAATATTTCCCGTCAAAGTGGGAGGTAGGCCTGATCCACTGAGGGATTTATTGTTTGAAATAACCATTAAGGAGAGCGTCCTTAATATCGTTTTGATTCTGGGTGTCTGAAAGATACGGCCGAATCTGGTCTAGGGTGTCTCTGAAAATGTTTTCCAGGGCTTGAAATTAGTGGAGCCCAGGTGTACAGACCCTCTGGACCACCCCCACACAAACGTGCCGACAGCATTCATCCACCAACCATGACTGGACTGGCTGCAAATCGGGCCGCCATTACCGCGCAGAGTACTCAGGACATGTCTCGGTTCGCCTCGGGTTGCCTCGATCAGACACGAGCAATAACTTCCAGGAAGGTAAGGAGGCGATTTCATGCAATCAGAGGCAATCACTTGATCGCGATCAGCTTATCGCCCCAACTAGATCAACCGCGAAAACAGCCCAATCAAACACAATCACACACAATCACACACAATCACCGACGATCACTTGATTGCATTTGATTGGGGTTCCACGCGACGCTGGCGAACAGTTACACTGTTTCTGGGTTGGCTCTATTTGCGACACAGGGAAACACTGAAATTCGCATGTTCCATGCCGAGGGTTTCGCAGTCGCCAAAGTGGGCCCGAAAGTGGCAAGAAATGTTTGTACGCCTGCTATGTAAACTCGTGGAGTGTTCGAGGAGAATAGTCTCTGATCGGGCGGCGCGAGCTGTCCAAACAAAGGCAACCCGATCAGATCAGCCCCGACCAGATCACAGCCGACCGGAGGCGAACCGAGACACGTCCTCAAACGTCACATAGGATATTCTAACAGCTCAGAATGCAGGTACATCGATAACCCAAGGATTAGCAGTCTAAGAGAAAAGTTACATGCAATTCCTCCTTTCATTTGCTCATTCATCAGTTGCATGTCAAATGCTATCTGTTCCTAGCTTGCTGGCACAATTCCTAATAAGCAGCAGAGCATTTCCACCATGCGCACTCATGCACTAAGCCCTCAATGTCCTCTCCAACCAGTACTGCCACAGAAGAATCCCACATTTTCTGCACCAGTTTATCTCCTTCCCAGAAATTTGCCCTAGCCAAACAATCCGCTGCCTAACTTCATGTCACCATTCCCACAGCCCTTCACGTGGCCTCATTAGCATGCTGACGCATGCTTCTCCTCTTTCCTCCAGCCGAACAACCCTGGCACTCCGTTGCAGGTGCTTTTTTTTTTTTTTTCTGAATTCTCCAAAAACACCTGCAACAAAATGCCTTCACCTGGCTTCATTCCCATGCTGGCGCATGCTTCTCTCCTCTCTCTTCTTCAGCCGTGCAGCCCTGGCAGTCCTGGCCCTCTCCTTGGCCTCTCGAATCTTCTGCTTCCGCAGCTGTCGGTACGCGCGCTCAAACTTGGAGTCAAACTCGCGCATCGACCCGCGCCGCGCCCACCATGGGGCCTCATCTGGGGGAGGCGTATCTGCAGGCGTGGAGCACTGCTGCCCGGTGATGTCAAAGTCGTCCGGGCAGAGGCTGCTGCCAGGCCCACCCTGTGGGGGGGGGAGCAAAGGGCAGGAGAGCAGGATTTTGAGTCGACTAAAACTCTGCCGGCGTGGAGCACTGCCGCACGGTAATGTCAAAGTCGTCCGGGCAGAGACTGCTGCCAGGCCCACCCATGCACACTCTCTCAACCCATGCACACTCTCTCAACCCATGCACACTCTCTCAACCCATGCACACTCTCTCAACCCATGCACACTCTCTCAACCCATGCACACTCTCTCAACCCATGCACTCTCTCAAACCCATGCACACTCTCTCAACCCATGCACACTCTCTCAACCCATGCACACTCTCTCAACCCATGCACACT